GTTTCAGATGAAATAGAATTTTATATGACATATTAACCAATATTAAATGTTTGAAAAACTGAAGTCCAAACGGACAAAAATTGCATAGTGCTATAGTGCTAATAGCCGGTAGTACAGTAACGTAATACATTGTATAGGAATGCTTTAAAATAGACTTGACATTTTAAGTACATAATGATTTTTATCATTTATTTATTTTCATTTATAGTTAAGCTACATGTGCCCTATCATCAATGAAAATAATGACTATTTTACCATGACTTTTCATTTGCTTACTAATTGACCTTGGTTTGATTTAAAAGAATTTCCTTTGTTTAATATAAATATATAATATTTATTTATTTATAAAAAAAATCCTTACAAAATTCAAAGTTTAATGTTTTAAATTTAAACCGAAAAAAAACTTTTATGAACAGAAATCAATATACAATTTATTAATGTTTGCGCTCTGACGAAAAATATACGCAGACTGTGTTTATCTGATTAAAATATAGAATATTCTGTTATCAGACAAGTCATATCAATAATACTTATCTGTAATAAATCATTCCGATGTTTTAGTAAATTAGCGATATACATTATATTGAAAAATATTACGTGCATTCAGGACAATTTAAAGACAACAAGTCTGTGTGACAAGTTACAAAAATAATTACTTTTGAAAGTTTTCCGATAATTACGGAGTCATCATTGAATTCTTGCAATGCAAATTAAAATCAAAGATAGAAAATGAATTAATTGATTTTTATATAGAAATATGTCTGCGTTTATAATAAAACGATACAATATTTTGATTTCTAAGTATAATATGTTGATTTATAATATTCTCCCTCAAAATGTCTCTAGGTATTTTTTTTATGTTAAAGAGTGCAGCCGAGCAGACGACCTATCTGACGGAGGTAGTATCATCACCCATAGACATCCGTAACATAAGAGATGTTGCGGATGTGCTGCCACCATTGATTAGGGAAAAGGGGGAGGAATAAGTTGGAAAGGGAGGGAAAAGGGGTGGGAAAAGGAAAGAGCAACCAGCACTCTCACTCATCGGACGAAACGTAGCCGTTAAACTCTACTTTACACCGATCTTTTGTAAGAGGCTGATGCTTACCCGCTCGAGCCAGCCATGTTCGGGCTACAGTAACTTAACCACAGCCAAACTCTACGACCATGAAAATGAATGAAACACTATGAAAACATATCAAAAATTGTATACGACGAAAGCATATTTTTGAACATTAAACATGGTTAAACATAAATACTTATGATAAGTCTAGATTCCATTTAGCTGTTTAGCTGCTGTACTATACAGGTACTTTATAACCTATATGTAATCTCGAAGCTTACTCGTAAGTCTAGGTCTATCTTGCACGTACGTACTTTATGGAAGCTTCCTGATGATCACGTGCATTTAAGCATTTATCTAGATGATTTGAGGACCATATTGTATTTTGATATTATAAGTAAACTTGAATTATAATGTTAAACTAAAAGTTTGTTTGCCTACCTTTGTATTTTTTGTGTAAATACAATATTCTAGTATAGAGAAAAATATTAATGGTCACTGAAAAATAAAGATAATTTCATGATAAAAAATACTTTTAATATTAATAATTTATTTATATTTTCCTAAAATTCAAAAATGACAAGTATGTAATAATTTACAATGCAATGCAATGCATATCAGCAACTTTCCATTTTTGAACTTGGCCTAATGGAAAAGTTCAAAAATTGAAGGTATGCATATGTTCCTGTAACGGGTTCACTATTGATGGTCAGAATAAATTAAGCAATGATACTTGTAAATTAATTACAATATTTCATAATAACAAAAGAATCACAAAAAAAACTTGCAGCATTTACACATTTTTATGCAAGTATTTGAAATGAATTCTAGGTATATATTTTTTGGTTTGCATATACAGTCCAAATCTGAAAACTGGGAGGTGTTATAAAATACTTAGTCTTAAATAAGATATACTTCGAGTTGTCTATAATTTTCCTTAGAAATGGAGGTATAATGTATTATGTATATAGCTAAAGAGATGGTTTGCTTGTTTCGTTAATTGAGCTAATTTAAAGTAATAGTTCAACAAGAAATTATATTTACTGTATTGAGATAGTGTTTAATCATTATTGTACGAGTATGATTAATAAAGTTGTAATAACAATAGATAATTTTGCAAAAACTGGAAAAAATTTCTAGGTTTTTCCGTTGTATGCGCTGAATTAATTGTTCAAGCTTCAGAAAAATGTTTTATTACGGAATTACTTCTTAGTTTATCAACTAATAATATTGATTGATGCTTCCTTACTTTTAGTAAGACCCAGTTTTTTACATTTTCTACCTTACATTTCACTTACGAATAATAACTTGCATTCTCTTACTGACAACATCGTTAGTTATTTGGAATAGCTACTGAGTTCACTGAAATATTTTCAAATTCAGCGGCGATGAGATGAAGGGGAAATTATATGATAAACAATTAACAATGGATAACCAACCGTAATGATATAAAGAAAAGAAAAAGGTATTTCTGTAGTAGTTTGAAGTAGGAAGTTAATGAAATAAGTATAACACAATGAGTAAAAGTAAACTCATAACTCCTGTGGAACAAATACATGGATTCATATTCTATGATCCAAGAGCAATCAGTAGCAAAACACTAGTTCATTAAAATCAGGTTACAAATTTTGCACCAAATTATCAACGCTCTTATTCAAATTTATATAATTGGTAATTTTGTAAGTGAATAGTAATACGGTACTTATTTTTAATCAAATTGCAATTCTTTTTAATTCCCATATCAGACGATATAAAAACGATCACATTATATAGTGATTAAGTGGACGTCTAGCCGTTCGTAGGCTCACATGTATTAGGGTAAGTCGAAAAATATATTAAAAGTATTTAATTAATTACAATAATTCTATTTTTGCAAAAAAAAAAAAAAATAATAAAAGCATTATTCAGATTCAAATGACGTTCACTCATGGAATAGGAAATATTGTAAAAACAATAGAAATTTAATTTATTGTATTTTTAAAATTATGCCATTCCTTTTTTTAATCATACTTAATATGCAAGTCATTTTTTTAAATTAGAATTAGAACCTGTTTTTTTGATATAATTATTTTTTTATTAACTGGTAGAAATCATTTATTTTCTTTACGCCCAACCAATCAGTTTAAGGGAAGAGATTAAAGGTTGTACTTGAAATTCTAATAATGACAATATTCTTAAGTATTAATAACTCAATATTATTATATATTTATAATCAGCTATTAGTCAATGAATAGAATTAACCAATTTATCAGCGTTTTCATCTATTTTATGACAAAAATATTATATTGACCTATAATAATCTATTCATATGCTCGTAAAAAGGACAAAATACTAAAACAAAGGCAGGTTCCAGGACATTTTAAATATAAATCAATAATGTAAATTATTCGGTGTTGCCAAAAGTAATTTAATATATAGTCCATGTTAAAGTGTTTCAGAGCAACAGTCATACTTTTAGCTATCCATGATAAGAAATATTTAGCAATAAATTGTATGAGGATAAGATTGAAGTAAAGTCGAATTGATAATGTAGATATCATATACATTTTTGTTATTTTTAATTTGAATTTACTTATTTGACTTCTTTCTTTGAATTTATAATAATCTTCCTTCAGTCAATATATACGGAATAAGTTCAATTCATAATATTTATTAAAATTAAACTAAACTAGAGGAGAAGATGTCGAAAAATTAAATATAGAATAAGTAATTAAAAAAACATGTACAAGTTACTAGTTTTGCCCATCATTGGGAGAAAATTTGTAGCTGAGCTGAGATGTTATTCAGTTTTAAACAAGATGTTTAGCTCTCATGATGAAAGCTATCAGTAACATGTAAAAATCTAGCATCAAAATATACTAAGCAAAAAGAAAGCGTAGTGTAGTCTAGTAAAAGAAAGGCAAAAGAATAAGAGATAATAAATAAGATTAGAGTGTTTTCTTTTAATTTAATCGCTAATTATTGATAATTATTGAGATAAAACTGTAAATAAAACTAATAGTTCATTTATAAAAAAGTGTAACGATTGATGGTCATTGTCTGGTTAATAATTTGTTTAAAACATGTGATTATATATAAGTGTTTTTTTTAAATTTTTGTTTTAAATGATAAAATAGATGGAAATCGGTACTCTTATTGTTAAACTTAGGAAAAGATTAACTTAAACTTAAATATGATATTATGTATAATACATATATGTCGGAGAAGAAGCGAATTCATTGTTTTGAAAAGAGTGACGTCAGCATAACTGACATCATCAATGACTCCATTCTTAACTGTCGTCAGGCAATGAGGCTGTCGAAGGTAACCGATAATTTAACTACCCTCAATCATCGATTATTGAAATAGTAACTACGCTGATATATAAAAAAAAACATATATACTTATATCTAAATGTATCTTCAAAAACCTATATGTCATCAACCTATCAGAAGCCCACTGCTGAGCAAGGCCTCTTTCTCACATGGAGAAGGTTTGAGCATTAATCACCACGCTTGCTCAAGACGGGTTGGTGATTTCAAACTTATAATTGTGAAACTATATGTTTAGGTTTCCTCACGATGTTTTCCTTCACCGTATGTCAGTGATATCTAAATATTCTCAGAAAGTACATATGACTCCGAAAAATCACATTGGTACTTGCCAGGTCTGAACCCGCGCCTTCGACAACGAGATGCGGGCCCCTTAACCACTAGGCCACCACTGACAAAACATATATACTTATAATATTATACGATTTACTTGTAAAACCCTTTTTTATACGACTTAAGGGTATCCTATAATTAGGGTATGAATCTAAAATAATTTAGTTAAGTTTTGAGCTTTCATCACAAATTTTGTTAACGATAGACAATTATTAATAATGCATATTTAAATTATATCACTATTATTAGAGTTATAATAATATTGAATACAGTATTTTTCTTTTTCAGGCATTATGTTCACTTTAATATTTATTTCTCTTCTGGCTGTGGTATCAAGTATACCTTTGAATTCTGAAAATGTAATTAGTAGCATACGAGATGAAGATTATATTTTACCAGGAACAGTGATTCCATCTTTTTATGACGTCTCTCTTATTCTGGACCCACGTAACAATGAAACGTTCAGTGGAAACGTGTCTATTACATTACGACCGTTAGTGGCAACAGATGAAATTGTCCTACAAGCTGATAAGACACGCATACAGAGAATTCAATTGTTTGCTAACGCAAATCAAAGCTTGGATATTTTATCAAGGCATACCCTAGCAACAGATGACACCCATTTTCTCAAAGTATATTCGAACGGTGTATTGAATGTGAACCAATCATACATTTTGAGAATCGAATACATTGCTGAGTTATCTACTGATATGTTTGGTGTCTATAGGTCCTCTTACGTGGATCAGTCTGGCAATCTTGTGTAAGTAATTTTTCTAAGTATATACAAATATACTGAGTCATTTTTTCAGTTCATTGTATTTTTAAGAATATATTTGCACTAAATTTCTTTGTTCATGTTTTGTATATACATTATACAAATGTAATAAGTTTTTGATTATTATATTCTCGTTTTTTTCCGACAGCCTCTTAAGAATTTTTTGTGTTAAATAATTTTTCAGAAATCTTATAGCTTCTCAGCTCCAGCCAACTTACTCTCGTCGAGCTTTCCCTTGTTTTGATGAACCACGCTATAAGGCAATATTCAGGACGACTATTTACTCGCCACCACAATTCACAGTAGTGAGAACTAACATGCCAGAAAGGACGGACTTATCAAAGTATATTATAAAATAACAAAAATTTTTTTAAACATAATATTACAATTTATTTTGCATTTCTGAATTGGAAAAATAAAGTTATTAACATAAATCATTATTTCAGACCACAGTTATTAGGATACAATAAATATGAATTCCAAGACACACCAGTAATGTCCACTTATTTGATTGCCTATCTTGTATCCAATTTTGATTATGTTTCTAACACCGGCAACATGACATTCTCAAAACCATTAAGAATATACGCAAGACCAGGAAGTAGGAATAGTTCAGAGTTCGCTTTAGATTTCGGTGAAAAGAATATGGTTGCATTGGAGAATTATATTGAACTGCCGTATGATTTACCGAAGATGGACAAGGCTGCTATACCAGATTTTTCAGCTGGGGCTATGGAAAATTGGGGATTGGTGTTGTACAGGTACTTGGTGTCTTTAAATAATTTATTAACGAAAGATTGTAGTATTAACTTAATATATCTCACAAACGAGTTAATTTATATTTTGTTATTCCTATAACAAAAGTCGCATAGATCCTTTAACAAAAGCAAATCGTCGACCAGAAAATTATAATATTTAAACTTACTAAATGTTACAATCAATGTTCAAATAGGTGCTTGCATTAGACAAGACTATATCAAGAAAGTAGGTTTATTTATATCAGCTAAATTATAACTAGAATTTCTAAGTTACGATATTCTGTTGAAGTAATTTTTTTTTTTCACTAAAAGAGCGAAGATGTCAATATTATCGTAAACGGAAGTCCATTGGAAAATGGCTTAAAAATCGTATAACTGAAAGCAATTGTAACTAATAATCACGATTTTAGCATAGAGAATAAAAAAGGCGATCACTGAAAAGTCTGACCGTTTTTGGTTTGCAAATATGAATGCCGAGACTAAATACCAGCAACAGAATGTAATATACTCGTAGAGTACGTCATTATCGGAATTTGTTATGAAGAATACTAATATAAATAATTCACCTTCTTTGAAAAAGCTAGCATTTAATCGGCACTTTGAAGCTATTTATCTCGAATAAACATTATTCATTCTTAACAGTTAGTGTCAATTATATCTAGCTATTTTAATGGCTTTATTTGGAGAGGTATATACGAAACACAAATAAAATAAATATAATATCTTCTCCATAAAATAAATATTATAAATTCTCAATAAAAGATATTGGTGAATCTAAGTTTATGTATAAGGAATGTTTTACTAGATCCTTTTAGTAAATGATTTCTCATCGAAGTGTTATTTATAAGTTACTTTCTACTGTTTGTACTTACTCTATGTACTGACATTTACCTGACCACTGGGTCAGGGTAAAAGACAAAATTATTATTAATTATCTTAATCGTGGCTATTAACTAAACAAAATAAGAGCTTTAAAGGTTTTAGACATTACGATAATTTTATAAAAAATATTAACCATTTTGCATAACACTTCGAAGTAGACGCGAAGTAAAAAATTCTTAGATTGTTTACAAACACAAATCTATAAACCATCAGCAAGAAATATGTATTTTTATGTTTCAGAGAAGTTGCTCTTTTAGTACGAGATGGCATTACAACAACTTCTGCATTACAAAATGTAGGACGTATTATTTGTCACGAGAATATGCACATGTGGTTTGGAAACGAAGTCAGTCCACTTAACTGGACATATACGTGGCTGAATGAAGGTTTTGCGAATTTTTTCGAAAACTACGGAACAGATATGGTAAAAAATATTTTAAATGATTATTGCTTTTAAATAATGATTTTGTCTGTTAAAATCAACTATTTAAATTAACAGGTTCTACCACAATGGCGTATGATGGATCAATACGTTCTTTTGGTACAAGGCGTCCTACAAGATGATGCCGTTCTTACTGTTAATCCAATGACATACCCTGTATATACTCCTTCGCAAGTTATCGGAACTTTCAATGCTGTTGCTTACCAAAAATGTAAGCTATTTTAGTTCTTTAAATTTAAATCTTCAAAGTAAAAGCTAGAAATGTAGTAATAATGTTTTCTAATAATTCATTTTAAGTATTTCATCACTCCGACAGCGCTTATCATAAGCGATAAAGTCAATAAAATGACAGAGTTTTAAGATAAAGACTCTTTTTTCAGACTAAATTTTTTTATTATTTTTTTGTCGAAGCCAAATTTAAACATAATTACATATATGCTTTGATACTCGTTACGTTGAAATAATGGTATATAATTTGTAAAGAAACACAATTTCGAAACAGTTCATCGTTAAACATACGAAGAGAAAACTTAACAGTTGTCTTCTCACATATTGTCGTTTAGAAGTTTTATTTGTAATTAAATAATTTATAAATACTTTCTAAAACTTAAACTATGCCAGTAAAACTTAAAATGTCATATATTCGATTATTATGGTATCTTGAAAAGAATTATCTTGAAACCATATGATATGTTTCCTTTAACTTAATTTAAACAGTAATTGTTTCACCACATGTTTATGACTTTGAATAACATTGTGTGAATTATGATAAAACGTTGAATATTTTAAATTTAATTTTGTTTTAATGGTTGAACGAATTATCTGTTAATAAAGTTCATGATAAGGGTTAAATTTATATATAATATCTGAAAGGAAGTAATAAGGATATACACCTATATATGTTTAAATGATAAAAAGTAATTAATCTCAGATGTTAAGATTTTCAGTTAACCTTTATCTTAATCTTTTTGTTTCATGTTTTCAGCTGGTTCCGTCATTCGTATGTTGCAACACATCCTCACCCCAGAAATATTTAGAAGAGGTCTTGTCAATTACATTAGAAATCAGTAAGTTCTTATAGTTATAGATAGTTTAAATACATAAAGACGAATACAATGAAATAAAAATCTTTCTTCGTAATATTTTTAGTGCACGGCAAGCCGTTTCACCACCTAATTTGTATCAAAGTTTACAACAAGTGGCAGATGCATCGAATATTCGTCTACCAGCTTCTATAGCCAATATAATGCAGCGTTGGACAACTCAAGGAGGATTCCCCGTTCTAATGGTTCGAAGACAAGCACCAACAGCTAATTCTCTATCTATAAGTCAGGTATGTGAAAATATTTTTGAGCATTATATAAATAGTAAATAGCCCTTAAAAGAAAAATTAGGGATTATTTAATTTTTCTTTTTAGCAACGATTCCTCACCGATCCATCACTGAGTTCATCTAACCGATGGCACGTACCTATCAATTGGGTTCTGTCAACCAATCCAAACTTCAGTGATACTAGCCCTCAAGCTTGGGTACCGCCTTCCTCCCCAGCTTTAGCAGTTGACATTCCCGGTCTTTCCAACGCTTCATGGTTCATTATTAACAAACAACAAACAGGTAACTGTAATTCCCGGAATCGTTATCGTTATTCGGATATAGTTTTATGACCACACTCTTACAGGTTACTATAGAGTTAACTATGAAGATGAGAACTGGGCTGCGTTAGCTGATGTTTTGGCCAGATCTCACAACGTAATCCACCTTTTGAACCGAGCACAAATTTTAGATGATGTATTCAATTTAGCTAGAAATGGAAGAACTGTAAGTTTTTTATTATTATTATTTAAAAACATTTACTCTTCTAAGAAAGGGTATTCTTTATAAGTTTAAGTTTAGTTTACAATTTAATAATTTCTATAAATTATTATTACTAAACCAAAACACGATTTATTAAAATATTTATGGTAATTTGTATATTTTATATGCAATACATTATCATGAATTCTTTCTGTGAAATTCATACACAAATAAAATGGTGTTAGTAATAATTGTTTATCTGAAATGATCGGTGAGTTTAAGTAAATACCACTTAATTTACATTTAAAAAAAAAAGCTTTAAAATATTATTGGGACAATTTTATTAACGTTTTTTGTATTAATAATAAATGTGAAAATTTTTATTTTGAACAATTAATTCAAATAGCTCAACGCTTTATTATTGAACTTTTTAAAAATACTTTCATGACATACATATATCGTAGTTCCACAAAATACAAATTACTAAATGACGAAATTATATAAAAAAATCATTAAATTATATATCAACAAACAACATAGGTGATTGTCTAAGATAAAGTTAATAGAATACCTTAATATTTACCCCTAAAATAGCTGTCCATTTTTATTCCAGAACTACAGACACGCATTGGAAGTATCCCGTTATTTAATTAACGAAACTGATTACATCCCGTGGGGAGCAGCCAACGCTGCTTTCAACTACCTCGACATAGTGCTCAGTGCTACCCCCGTCTATGAACTATTCCAGGTATTGCAATATTGCGTTATGTATCATATTGTAAATTCCCCTCTGTATACATTATGCTAAACAGCATAACCTACTGTTTAATATTGAAAAGTATGTTATATGTATCGAATCTAATGTAAATGTTTTATTTCAGCGTCACATTCTTCGTCTGTCCGAACCTTTATTTGATCAACTTGGTTTCGAGCCGAAACAAAACGATGAGCACGTTACGCCTTTCCATAGAAATATCATACTCAACGTCAACTGCCGATTTGGAAATGAGAGATGTCTTAACAAATCACGAGAGCTTCTGATGAGATTTAAAGAAAACCCTAGCAAGTATCATTTAAACATATTAAAGAGATTCATCGGTGATAATGTCCTTGGTTTAGAAAATAACTTTTACTTACTTCATTACAATCTCGACATAATTTAAACTGCTTATATCTATCTGAATATTTTTAATTACTAAGATTTGAATAACATCGGTATTGTTCGTCAATTATGTATAATGCCTTAATTATTTCTGTTTTTGTAAAAATAGTAAGCTAAAAAGGCGTGAATAGGGTATAAAAAGTATTCGTGAATGGTTTATTTTGTTTTATTGTAAGACTCAAAGTAAAAATATCAAAATGAGTACAAATCATTAAAACTTCAAAGAATATTTAACATTTATTATATTAAGTTAAGACATTTATTGTTGTTATAAATACGTACTTAAACTGAAGTCTTAAACTAGGTCAGCGTATTCATCCGGACCTTCAACAGACGATCTACTGCTCCGCTTTGAGGGAAGGAGATGCTGATACCTTCAACTTCCTGTGGGAACAATTCCGAGCCAGTCAAGAATCTAGCGAACAGGCTATCCTTTTGAATTCCTTAGGTTGCACCTCTAATGAGACACTTCGTTCTTTGTGAGTTTATTTTTTTTATTTTCCGTCACCTAGTTTTGTCACAAGTCTTAAATTTTTAAATATAATGATTCCTTTTTTTGTTTATTTGATGATTTTTAATAATAAAAATGTATATTTTCAGCTATATGAACCAAGTGATCTCACCTAATTCAGAAGTAAGAGAACAAGATCGTCATACAATCCTCGTTTCCGTTATTAACTCCAGTCCAGCTGGTATGGAAGCTGCTTTAGACTTTGTCATTGAAAACTTCGCTGCCATTAAGCCCAGGTTTGTAATTAGGGCTGATATTTTTTTTTAATCTGTAGCTAAAATTTTAGTATCATAGGCGTAACCTTTTATGTTTATTTCTAAACTTAAATATTTTGTAACATAATATTTCATACAACATCAAATTTATATTTTTCAACAGAGTCGCGGGACTTTCGGGCACACGAAACATTCTGACTGCCTTCGCCAGACGGCTTACATCGAGAAATCACGCTGCAAAAGTAAGTATCAGTTTTGAAACAGGGCTTTGCAAACTCTTTAAATACCAAATATTATTCACGAAACAACTTAAGATCCTGAAATAAGATAACTTTGGTTCTCAAAAAGAAATTATCCATCTCTAAATGTAAGCTTCTGAAGTAATATTATTTTCAAAGTGTCTTATATAATATTATTACATTTTATAATAAAACTCTTCTTTACAGATTGAAACATTTATCAGTCGCTACCAAAATATCTTCTCAGCGGCTGAAGAAGCTGGCGTTCGTAGTATTAATGAAAATATCGCAGCCTCAATCATTTGGAGCAGTAATAATTACAACGCAGTTAACGGCTGGTTACGTAACCAATATGGCAATAGCGCCAATATGATTACATCGAGCTTATTGATCGTACTCTCTATATTTATAGCCTTTTACAACCACTGACTAAATACTATAAACTAATTATAGTTTAATTTTATTTTATAACACAAACATTTACATATTGTGTAAAATTCTGTTGCGCTTAAACTGTAAAACTTAAGTATTGTGTAAATAAACCACTTACCAAATAAAATTTATTTAATTTCAACCTGATTAATAAATTAATAATTTAGAACAAAGAGGAGATAAAAACATCGTGAGGAGACCTAGACTTAAAATTTCCAATCATAAGTTTGAAATTACCAACCCGTCTTAAAGCAAGCATTGTAATTAATGCACAAATCTTCTCCAAGTGAGAAAAAGGCTTTGTCAGCAGTGGGTTCTGATAGGCTGATGATGACGATTAATTTAAAATATTAGATATATGTCTATTAGAGATGGGAAGTAAATAGTTGAATCAGCACAATTATGTTTCGAAGTCCATCAATTTTTCACGTTTACTTAGTATTGTTTTATTTTTTTGTGTTTATTCTAAAAATGTGTTGAAATATATTTCAATAACTAGCTTAGTTTATGTATATAAAAAACGAGCTTATTTCTATAATGAAATAATAGTAAAATCTGTTATAGTAATTTTAATTACTTTCGGCCACTGTCTTTACGTGCTTGAATTATTTTATACTCTATCGACAACGAACATTGAGTGTTAAACAAAGTCACGATTTTTGAGTATTTTTTTTTAAATAAAATAACGTATTTCTTTATATTTCCCACAAAAGAATTCGTTTTGTTCTCTAAAAATATTGCTTTACAAATTATATTATTTTTCCTTGTCATATATTAGCTGGCTATAGCATAATATTTTTACCTTAGAATATTATTAATGCCTTAGAATTATTAGGAAGAGCTTAGGCTTAAAGTTATTTATTAGTACACAAAAAAAAATACAAGGAAGTTAAATTTAATATCAGAGTATACTAAGGATGCCTAAAATAAAGGTGAGTCAACAATATTATTCTCTTATTGTAATAGTCATAGAAATAGATTCTATTGGTCCTTTGACCCCAATCCAATCATATTATCCTTAGCCCTCTGAATCTCTTTATTCAAGGTGCAAAGGTTAAGTAACTTTTTTAGACAACCAATAGAATTTGCCGTTTCGATATGCAAGTCGAAAAATCTTATTAGAAATTCTGAACAATTTACCATCTTTTATGTACACAATATATTTTCTATTTTAAATGAACAGATTGTTTAATAATATTTTTCAGTATTTAGATATACAATAAAATTAACTATTACAAGCAAAATTTTATAATATGTCCAAAATTATTATATATGGACATTTCAAAAGTATAGATAGGGGATTAGATTTATCGGATGTTTGTATGATCAACTGCGGAATTTATTTCTTTATCTCATCTTACAAAAAAGACTTTATCAGTACAGTATCAGATACTTTCAAATGTCTCATTTTTTCAGTGGTGTTCGGATCATTTAACTAAGTGAACTAAGTGACCAAATAAAATGGCCCGGACAAAGTTTGAGTGTTATCTTTTTATTTTTATGTCTTTAATTTTATATATTGATACGAGAAGTCTTCCAATTAGTGAATACAGTGTGAAAGTAACTGAAAACCAATATTCCAACGGAGATGTCCCACCCATCGCAGAACATAAAACGATTTATCAGAAGAAAGTAAATAATGTTGAACAATCTAATGTGATAAATAAAAATCAATCAATTATTAAGGCATCTCGAGAACCGGATATTCGGAATTCTAATGTCAGACCGGGCCAAACAGTAAGATCATATGCGGTTGCTATAACAAGAAATGGGAACAACTTCAATGGAGTTGCAACAATAGATTTAGATTTGACCGAGCAGACCAGGGAAAACGATATAAGATTTAATATATTAGATATGACTATACAATCTGTGAGAGTCGGAGTTTTAACAGATGCAAATGCTGAAGACGCTAATTACAATATAAACAACAATAACTTAGTAATTAAACCGAGGCAATCAGGAACTCGTTTTGTTGTAATTGTTCAATACACAGGAGAGCTGCGTAGAGATGGTAATGGACTATACTTAGGACAATACGATGACAGGTAAGAAATAAAAATTATAATAAGCATTAATTCGTCGAAGTAATGCTTATTAGTTTTCTTTTCAATTCAACTTCATGTAATTATGTTTTAACATAATAGCAATGACGAGTAATACTGAAATAGGATTTATATTAGAAAATGTAAGATGAAAGTTTATCGATCCTAACAGGGTTCAAACCGACAACCATCGGAATTTCAGTTCCTGGAACGCTATTTTACTATTGTGCTATAACTTGTTCTGTTTTTTTTTAATTTAAAACCGCTATAATGGGTTTTATGTTAATAATATTGATGTTGTTGGTTCATGTTTAAGGTAATTTTGTAAAACAATTGGTCAATTTAATAAGATCTGAGACTTTTGTGAGTATTCATTTTAATGAAACTAATGTTTTTCGCGTTACTCGCGTATTTTATTAATTTAAAGAACTAAACATTACTTCTTCAGCAACCGAAAAGTACCCGAAATTTTTGGAGTATGTAGTTTTTCAAAATAATAAAATGCACCAGTAATCTGAACAACATTAGTTTCAATTAGTCAATTTGTTTTTCAGTGACTATGTAGCAATGAATCTTCATCCAATGAATGCAAGAAGAGTATTCCCTTGTATGGACGAACCTTCTCTTAGATCAAGAATAACTTTCACCTTCAATAACATGGGATATGAGACCATGGTATCAAATAGTCTGTTGCAAGCTGAAAGCCAGTAAATATAATTGTTCATTCAAAACATTTAAAAATGAAACATTGTTAAATAAAACTATTATATATATATATATAAATGTTCCCATTTCATATATAGATATCTACTTTCCTCAGGTTTTTTTCCTATTAATTCTTAGTTTTCATTCGTTCTACCGTTTCTATTTCTTCAACTGAGGATTTATCATTTTATTACAATATTCTATGGATGAAAATGAATAATTTTCACTAATTATCATCATTAGTTTGTAAAAAATAGTTTTATTTATATGTTTCAAAATAATTATATATGTACAATTAAATAATTGTAATGACTAGTAATTCATCTATGTTCTAGGACAGCATTTAGAGCCTTAGAAACTCCTTCTCATGTCTGGGGTATGGTGGCTCATAATTTAGTCAGCATAAGTGTACCTGTACCAAATGTAGTAATATATGGGCGGCAAGGAATAGGTAATCAGGATGCTCAAGCGGCTGCAGCAATAAACTATTACTTTAATGCTTTTAACGAATGGACTCAATCATCTTATTTCCAAATCGTTAATGAACAAGACAATAGGTTGCATATTATGGCTGTTCCTGATATTAATAGAGAATGGTACGCGCTATCTACAATTTGTATTTGGTGAGTTTATATTTTCATATGATTTATAATAATCTGCGCTTTTAAAAGTTTATAAGAAATAATTTTTTATTATTTTGATAAAAATTTTGTATGAAAAACCTTGATAAAAATGTTATCGTGCAAATAGCTATAGCATAGTATATTTAAACTGTACATATACATTATACCTACCTTTTACCTAACTACTATAGAAATAGTAATTACCACGACAAAAATTGTATTTTTTTCATTGTCTAGCTATAAATTATAAATATAAGTCACAAATAACTGAAATATTAATCATGAAATGAATTTAAGGGAACCATACATTTTTATGACAACCAACCATGCTGTCAAGCAAAGGAAAACCGCTCTTGTCACAATAGCGGAGGCAATGTCACGACATTGGTTTGGATATGTTGTTTATCCTGAAAATTGGCGTCACCAGTGGGTTATAACAGGCTTAGGAAGTTACGTAGCATATGATATTGTAAAAGAGGTATACTGAACATATTCTATATCATGCTTTTTGTTCAATTATTTACATCAATACAAGAGGGTTTATAGCTTAAACTGTTGAGTAAATAGATAATTAGATTTATTGGTAATAATATAAGTCAAGTCATTTAAATGTTTTGTGAAGTATTTGATAACACAATGAGATCTATTTTATCTTAAACGTCAATGATTGTACGTATGCATGTATTCAATAGAATACTGAAATAAGAATGGCCTCATGATTTCAGTGTGATCTGTCATAAATGAAGATATATTTATATTCAGTACTAACTTATCGCTATTGATAACATTCTATTGAAAAAAATATATCAAATTTGACGGAAAAAGCACTTATGTGTCTTAGTAACCGCTAAATTATGTGATTACTCAAAGCTTACGTCAAGCAAGCATTTATGTACTAATTCACCTGAATAAAATTACACAGTATTATGATATAGATGTGTGTGAAAAATGTTAGTTTCACAATATCTATAATAAAAAATCTTTATTCTAAAAATCATTTACCATTATTGTAACAATCAATGAGCCAAATAAATAAATGATCAATGACATGGTGACGTTAATGATAAATTTCTTAATTTGCACAATTTTTATTATATAATTTCCATTAAAATAACCACTTGAATATATGTATTATGACAAATTATTCAATTATATTTCAGTTCCAAACATCGGCAAATGAGGAAGAAAATGTAAACATGCTGGACATCAATACAATATTTACAACAGATATCATTCAGGAGAGTCTTCTTCAGGATGCCTATTCCATTTACGATCCACTACTTGTTGGAAATAGTATTTTTCAAAACAACGCCGTACGATTCCATTTGAATAGTCTTCTTAAATATAAAGCACCTGCAATAATACGAATGTTAAGTGGGGTACTGGGAGGTGAAATGGATTTAATCAAAAATATAACCAGGGCGTTAATCCCTGCAAAGTAAGTACCACAAACATATTAATTAATAGACAAAAAATTAGTATTTTTCATTCAACATATAGTAAAATTATTATATGTTTCCTTACATGATAAGTAAAGAAAAGATGCAACGTAATGTATTGTATAAGATGCAAGGTAAAAAAATCATTTGAAAAAAAACAATACCACACATCAGGGCCAATTACGAATATCATCCAACTTATGTCATACCATTAAAAAAAAGTTATTAAGCTTTTTAACGGGCTTTTAAATATTATTAACAATACATATATATATATATATATATATATATATATATATATATATATATATATATATATATATATATATATATATATATATATGTATTCTTCTTCCTTTCTTTCTTGCACTGAAAGTATATATACATACATATGTCAATACTTTCACTACATTAACAGCAGAAAGATAAATTACTATGTATTTAATTTCACACTTAAAAAAACGGACTTATTAGCACGAATTTTATATGTTGCCAAATTAAGAGAAATGATTTTTTTTATAAAAACTTAAATGTTACCCCAAAAAGTGTTTAAAACTAATAAAAATAATTCTATTGTGGTATAATGCTGTAATTAAATTACTTCTTCTTTTACAAGTCATTTGGAAGCGGTTTCTACCCAAAGCTTATTTAACGCTGTTAATAGCGTTTTCTCTGGGAATAATATACTTAATAATGCTAATGAGTTTATTACAAATTGGATAGATAAAACTGGTTACCCCATGATTAGGGTCGTACAGAGACCAGGAGGAGTTCAAGTTACACAGGTAATTTAATATTCCTTCATTACTACATATTATATTTTATATTGGTATGATATATTATAATGTTTTATTTGCCAAATATAAAAGTAATTATTTACAAATAATAGTTCATAGAAATGTTCATGATTAGGTTAGGTTATTTTAAATTTAATTCATAATTTAATCTGAGTGCAAAACAATTTTTAGGAACATTTTAGTTTTACGACATCTTCAAGACCATCAAACTTCCGAATTCCTTTGACATATACAACAAGAATTGATCCCAATTTTAATAATCTGTTTCCATCTGAAATGATGGATTTAGTGAGCGTGGTTACTACGGACCTTGGGGAAGATGATTGGATAATATTTAATATACAAGGACAAGGTAGGAAAGTTTCTAAAAAGAAATAAAATTTAAATCAGTTATTTAAAGTCATTTAATGTTATTCTATTCCTGACAAAAACTTTTGACGTTTAGTGACTTACAATACTCTAAGTACATACAATAAAATAAGTATCTATTTCAAAAGTTATTTTTATAAGGTATTTTTTTTTCGCTGAAATTATGTTATATTGGTTGGGTTTGGTAATTTCCTCGGCTTTGTTAAAACTGTTTTAAAAATATTTTAATTTCTGTCAGAACATCTGACTCATTTTGATGCTTTTACATTTAAATAATATAGATATAACATTAGGATGTCACTCGACTGTAAACGTTTAGATGAAAATATTCTTTTTACTGAATTGAAAAGAAATAAAAGATGAACAATTTTACAGTCACCTGAAAATTTTACATCATTTAAAACCCATATCTGGAACTAAATCACCACGTATGTTTGTAAGCGGATATTTTTAATTTTATTTACAGAATATCTTGGTTATTATGTTTTATTGCTACCGGAATTTTTTAAAAGAAACTACCAGTACCTACTAATACAGTTTCTGTCCGAAAAAATTTGTATTTTTTTAAATTCCCGCCGATCATATTAAAATTTATTTTATTTATGAAATTGATTAGCTTTATAAAATAGTTATATAACATAGAAATATATAAATGTAATCTCTAAAACCAGTTATACGGTTGCACTATACGGGAATTTAAATGGCTAGTATTATTAAATTAGATATCTACGCAACAATTTGAATACCAATCAAAGCATTTAGATTTTGAAGAAAGGAATATTCATATTTCGTTAATATTTTAGGTTATTATCGAGTTAACTATGATGACGTTTTATGGCAGAGGATTATCAATGCATTAGGGGATGAAGAGCAAAGAGAGAAAATTCATCCGCTTAATCGTGCTGCTGTAAGATTTAATTTATATTTAGTATGAACACAAGTAAAAAATAATAATTCAAGGAATTCTAAATAAATAACTAATTTATGTACTGCAAGTAATGAATCACAAGCCACCACTTGAGTGATTAAAATTTATGTTCACAGATTTTAGATGACGCTCTTAATTTAGCAAGAGCAGGAAAATTGGATTACAATATAGCGTTTGACATAGTCCTAACAATGGAATTAGAAACGGATTATGGTGTTTGGAAGAGTTTTGTTAGAAATATGGACTTCATAAGGAAACGATTAATGACATTTGCAAACGATAATGGCAGAGATAGCCAAGCTTATGCGGTATGTATGACTTTTAATACTAAGATAACTAAAACTATTCCTTAGCTGTCAACCCACGCCTTTAAAGCTTCTTAGTGGTAGCAAATAATCTAACCACTGAAAAATTGAGAGATCAAAAATGTGAGTAGTTTTATAGTTATCATCTCCTTATCTTTATTTTAGTAATATCCAAATACATTTCTTTTTACCAAATACTAGATATTACAATGATTCTTTGCAACAGCAAAGTAAGAAATCATTATTCAGGTTTTTAACAAGAAAACTTAACAGACTTTTACATTGCAATATAAAAATGCAGAAAGCTTAGTTTACTGACTTGAGTGCTGGCACGATCGCTTAGTCAGTAAAATGTTCGAGATGGGATTTGCAATACATCTACCGACTCGTTTTGATTCAAATAAACTGAGTACTTTACTTTAAATATATATTTATGTTATACATATTATGTTTAGGTGAGGACCCAGACATTGGTTTATGATATAAATATATAAAATATTATGTAACACTCAAACAATATAAGGTCATTCACAAATTTCAAGACTTAAACTTGTATTTTCGTTAATAAAAGTCGATATAAGAATGTTCGCTAAACGATAACTACATATTAAACTATAAACTAGGCATAGTGAGAAAATGGACAAAAAGCTCTTAATAATAATAAGGAACGCTCAGTTATTACAAAAAAAAATAATATCCTATAAGTAATAAAAGTGATTTAAAATTTATGAATATATTAATATATTTATATTAATTAAGAAATGACGTAGGGTGGCAACCAGAAGTTTCAGAAAACTATGAAACTTATTTATATGTATATTATAATAAGAAATACTTTTTAAAATTATAACCTATACCTAAAACTAAACGATTGCCCCGTATTAGAATAGCCATCCCATTGCTTGTGTGGTATCATGTGTGGCAATCTTCTGGTTCACACATTTTGATGCGAGCCCCGCGGAGTCAGCAACGTCACTCGTAATGTGATATTTTATCCTTACAACGATGTTGCCCCCGCGCTGTTCATATATATTTTTAAAAGCCTCAATTAAGTGAACTGAAAAGAAAATAAATATTTATAGAGACTTCTGGAGAAACTTATCATATCTGTTGAAGATAAACTCGGATTTAAACCACAAAATTCGGATACGGCAATGGAATCACTGACAAGAGCCTTGGTGATGGAGCACGCATGTGTATCTGGCTATGAACCTTGTATAGCTGAAGCCGTTGATATGTTCTTTGATCCAAACAATGATGGTGAAGTGTGAGTTATTTTATTAAAAAAGTTATGACCAAATTATTTGTAAGTTTAAAAGATTAGTTATCATATTAATTAGTTTGATTGTTTTAGTATAAACAATTTTTCTTGTGCTCTAAAACAGAATTACAGAAAATTAATACAACACTGGATTTTGTAGTTACTTAGTATAATCTATTCCTAGTTAACCTTTACCAGTTAATAAGAATATTCCTAAAAAACTTCAGGACACTACGTCTTACGGTTTCAGATATATCATAAGAATCAATATACATATGTACATATGTAACGGTGGAAATCTCTCAAATTGTATACACGTAGTAGAATAGCAATTTTAATTTGTTATGTATGTTTTGTCATTTAAAAAACTAAGATTTTTTACTTATATACCATAGGAATCCCGAAATACCGTTAGAAATAAGGCCAGTTGTATATTGTACAATGGCTAGAGAAGGAAATGAAGAGGTTATAGCAGCCCTCAGAAGACGCTTGGGTCAAGAAACATCCAGATACGAGCGACTCGTTATATTGGAGTCTTTAGCCTGTTCAGAAGATGGTGCGTTTATTGATGGGTAAGTTAAAAATATGCAAATTATTATATAATATATAATCAAAAAATCATACTTGCGAAAAATTCATTTTTTAATTGATATAGCTTATTACATATATGTTTTTTTATCCCGTTTTGTAAATGTGGTATTATATAAGTCTTATAATATGATATTTTTATTTACCTGGCTTGGATCCATGACGGTGGTAAGACTTAGCTAGTCAAGTAACTGCAGCTCGTACTCGTACATGGGCAGACTCGACTGGGAAGTACCACCATCTCACAGACGGTCAGAGTGAAGTAGTATTTTATGTCAGCATTTCGTCCGATGAGTGAGACAGCCGGTTTTGCTTTCCCTTTTTCCACCCTTTTCTTTTCCCGACCTTTGGTCTCCGTCTTCCACAATCAAGGTTCGCAATGCATCTGCAACATCCCTTATGTAACAGATATCAATGCTCAACTCTGAATACTTCCCAGCAAGTTGGCAGTTTGCTCGTTTGCTGCCTTTGATATAAAAAATATTTACTTATTATACATCTCAAAATAATAGTTGATACGAAATCAATTACATATAATATAATTAAATTTAGTTCTTCAGTATTCTGACATTTAAATGTCTTTTAATTAGCATAAAGATATGTATAATGTTTTGTATTCTTGTATTCTACCATTAACATGATTATATCAGCAAGTTTATGGAAAAATACAAATCAGGTTTTGTGATTAACTTTATCATAAACAATTGAAAAAAAAGAAATTAAGTATGTATTATTTAGAATTCAGATGAAAATATTGTCAGTTAAATCATATAACAAAGTTATTCATTTAAAGTAATTGTTCTCGCTTAAATTTGTTATATTCTTCTCAAAGAGTCGTTTGTGGCTAAAGCTAAGAATAATAGTAACATTTGTGAACTATGACTTAAATTAACGACATATTAAATTTAATTTACTTCAAATAAGTTATGGCAAATTGTGTTTTTCTACTTAGTGATGGCTTAAGACTGTGTAAGTAAAACTCTCCAGTGAACATTAGCCATGAAATATTTTGACCTTATTTAATTTATATTAATCTTTTGTAAACAGCTAAGAATAAAATAGTGATCTAAAATTCCCATAATAACAACATTTTTTGTTTCTGTTATTTAGGGATAATTTTAGTTGGACGTAAACTCTGTATTCTAAGAAGTTTTTTTTCTTTAGTGATATGGTTTTTACATATATAAAATATTTTTGAACAATTGAGTTACTAGAAAAATGTAAACGAACAATGAATATTTTATTTTTAGGTTGCTGGCAGAAACAGTTGCGGCGAACAGCCCTTACGTTATTGAAGAGAGGTTCAAGATATTCGTCGCAGTCGCCTCCTCTAGTTTTGGAAATGCAAATCGCGCACTAAACTTTTTGAGGCAACGAACAAATGATATAAGAAATATGTAAGCTTTTAAATATATTTAAATGTAAAATGTTTGAAACATAATACTAACAACTGTCCATTCCTTTTAAGGAACGACTAAATATTAAGCTAATATAATAAGTAATATTTTTGTAATAAACCTTATAAAATCGAATTAATTTTCTTTTTAGGTACGGTGGAGGTGAAAAACTTGACCAGCTTATATTGATTATGGCAGAAAATGCAGTGAATCAACAGATAGGGGACGATGTAAGTATGAAGTAATGTTTGTTCAAAGCAATATTAGAAGTTATTTTAAGACTCATCCAGGGAATCCGAAGTTATTTTAACTGGCATTTCATAATTCCTTTGGATTATTAGAGAATGTATTGTCTGTAACATTAATGTTCATTCTAAGAGCCGCTCTAGTCTAATTTTAAAAGACTTGAGACTGAAACACATTACAAAGATATTTATAAAACCTAATGTTACTTTAATTTTAACAAATATTAAATCTGTAACCCAAGAACAATAATTATTTTTTCTTGATACAGTTTACCACATGGGTGAATTCGCAACCAGCGATTAATAACCTGGAAGATTCCAGCATGGTTGCTGTTAAAGCAAGGAGTTTAATTGCAGAAAATGTAAGTTGGAAAAATACACATCTTTCGAATGTATACGATTGGGTAGAACAAAATAATGGAAACACCTTTTTGGTATCTTTTGCTTTGATATTTGTGTCTTTGATCGTTACCATTTTTAATAATTAATAAGTAAATTAAATAATAAAAAAAGTAAAATATTATATAGTTCCTTTGTAAATAATTTGATGCATAATTTTATTTGTATCGTCAATATTATTATTTACAAAATATTTTTTATTCATGATTAGTTATTAAATATTATATTGTAAACATAATTATAGAGAGTAGGCAAATTGATACCGTGCATTATCTTCGAGACAGTGCATTGTGTGTCGAAATGGTTATTAAATATCGAGCTTAGGAGAATGAAGACATTTGAAATGAATTGTATGAAACTTTCAAGAAATTATATAACGTTAATGATTACATAGATTTATAATAAACAATCTCACAGATTTTATAAAAATCTGTACAGATTGAACCATTTACACAGGAGCCCTAAAAATAATTGCTTTTAATGTTATTCTTAAGTTAGAATTTATTTAGTAAGCTATTAATTATTTTAAATTATCCATTAAAATATAAGTAAAATATTATTTTATATTACATTTTAGAAATATTTAACGTATTTTATTCTAATAATTAGGAAATTGCACAAAGTGAATTATTCGTTATATTTCATATTTTAGATGTAAGTATATTTTTAGTTTCGCTCATAATATTTTCACATAAATTCTCTGATTTGAAGCAAATGCGTCCTCTTGCTTCAAATCTAGAATAATTTATGAAATTAGTTCATAAGATAATAATTTTATTGATTTCTTATCGCATATAACATTAAGTGTATAAATAAATATAATATTAACAACCATTCTCAGTCTTTTATTTGTAATAAACCGAAAGTTTCACCATTTAAATAAAAAAAAACATTAGTTAGCTAAGAGTAAGTAGTGGTATTGCCTCTAAATTAGTTATATTAAAATGTATAATTATTTATACAAAGAAAAATTTTCGTTATGATACTTGAAATTATCCTAAAAAATTATTTTAAGTGCACACACGACAGACTATCTCTGTCTAGACACCTACACATATAACCTCGATCAAATACACAAATTAACAACACCTAAACAAAATTGAGTCTTCATCCACGTATCTTAAAATAAGTTTTGCACCCTCTAAAAATTCACCACTTTGCCCTGCCCTGTAAGTATTTTATTACGTCAATCAGTGTCATTAGACTCATGATGACTAATTTAGTTATAACCATTTAAGTGTGAGTTGAAGAGGTTTTTTTTTATAAGTTGGTATTAAGCGTATTTTTACGTCCCAATTGAAGAAATCAATTTCAAAATGAAAACGGTTGGTATCAAAAACCTCTATAATCCAAAGAGATTCTTTATATTTTGGACACTGTGAATGAACGGCCAACCTATTGTTAAACGGTCACCCTAGACATTGGATACCAACCATAGCATGGACATCACATACGCATTGTTGACTCTTTAAATACCATTCATTGCTCTTTTCAATAATTCCATATTGAAGTCTCTTTGGAAAATTTTAACGAGATATACTAAGGTGTTGGCCTATACAAGAGATAATTACTGCAACTACCGATTGTAAATAATAACTCCCTGCCGATGTCAGCCTGACGATGATAAGTGTTAGTCATTTTTGTCATACCAAATAGTTGCTCAAACTAAATAATTAACAGAATATACACAAGGAGGCAAATCACTTTTAAGCTTGGTATTTTGTTACCACCTGTGATTACTGATAATCATCACATCTCGTTTTTAATGGAATGAAAAGTCCAAGACTTTGAAAAAGGTCAAAGTATATACTTGATGAAACATTAAAATAGAATAACATTTAAGAACTAACCTGCTTTTTATACGGCAGCAATCATATCCTCCAAATGAAGTGCATCGTCGGTCTATTCAGAACGTCTAGTTGTTGGACCCCAGCTTAACTTTTTCTTCTAAGTAACTCCAGAATTGATGGTTCTGCAAATGTTAACACCAAGTACATTTTATCAAGATATATAACGGAGTGGATGAATTACTATCTACATATATTAAGAGAACACACACTTAATTCTAATGATATTTCCTTACTAACTTTTGGTCGGAAAAGCGACTATTGACACGTTTTGCGGGTGTTTTTACAAATCGAGTGTAAAATTTAAATGCGAACACATATTCTTATTCTGTAAGTATATTGCTTTGGTTTATTTAAGTAATTAATTGGCGTTATATTTTGAACTAATCATCATATTCTTAGAAACAAGATTACAATTAATTTAAAAAAAATAATAATAATTACACAAAACTAACAATGGCTTTTAATTTATAACTTTCAACTGTCTCGATTTAAACTTATCGTGAAATGCAATCTCATTATAACACAAACAAAATATTTATACACACTTCGAAAATCTACTGACCTCTAATCTATCACACCAACGCGCGTTAGAAAAAAAAAGAGTTGTGATCTCCTAGGACAACTGCTTATGTGTGGTTAGAGTTAGACCTACCTTCTATATTCCTATAAATTCTATTTTATACCCTCTAGATTACATAATAAAATAATAAACATATTATATTTTAATTTCTGCTTTCATCATTTACTTATGCGGTAATATGGCTGATATTACCATACATACATATATACATCATGAGCCTTGCAACAAATCTTGCTCTTAATCTAGGAGTATACATATTCTTACAATAGATCACGATCTAGAAGAAGGACGCAACCTTTGTTAAACTATCGCAACCGTGAGCATGATAGGGTCACGCTAAATCAATCGTATCGCGTTTAAATAGTTCAGAAACTGAACGCTCTGTCCTAAGTGACGAAGTTCAGAATAACAAAAATATTAGGTCGTATACTCTGTCACTGGGAAAATTGCAGAAAGGACAATCAATTAAAGTTAGGTCATCGTTATTTCAAACTTTACTATCTCTTTCTACAACCGCATTAAATTGACCCGCGCTTGAGACCATGTCCGAAATTAAATAACAGTACAACCTGTCGTCATGTACAAGTAGTAGAATAAGCACGTAACTGAAGCCATGAGTAGAGAAGAATACTAAAGTAACAATCATCAAATGAACAACTACTATTTTTATACGCTGGTAAAAACCACATAGATAATGTCACTCAGTATTTAGAATGCGCTGTCAACATATTGGTATTTTCGATGATAAAAATATTAAATTAATATATTGGAATTTTAGTTACTACACTTGAAATAATCCATAACAAACCGTAAGTAAAACCCAGGTCTTAGCCTGTTATCACCAGAAAAAAAACACTAGTCTTCACTCGAAACATTTGAAATAATAAATATTAAAGGAATCAATAATTCCTCTCACAAGTATATATTAGAAAATATTTGTATTGATACTTTAAGTATGTAATAATTATATTATTATTTGCTAGTGGTAATTGAAAGGTCAAATTATAGCATTGATCGACTCTTCTTAACAGTAACATTCAAAATTTGCTTTTCTACTTTTTTTCTCTTTAGAATAAATTTGTCTTTGACCAAACACTCTTTAAAATTAGAGTATAAATATTCTTTATCACTTTCTATGTTTAGTATATTTTTTACTAAATGTAGTTGACAACATTTTTAAATAATTCGAAGTAAAGCTTAACTTTTTCAAAGCGTTTTATTCAATCTTATTGGATCAACAAAGCGGAATTAGTTTATGAAGCTCATCGATCTATTTGCGAGGCATTTACTCCTAGTCTGCAGATAATGGTTAAATTTGTAATAGTAATTTAAAACACAGTTTCAATAAAGCTTTTGTTTTGTTTTCAAAGCAAGAAGGAGACGAAATATTGAATCGTGGCTGTGATTTTACTCCAGAGGACTCAATTCTACCCACATAAAAAATCAGCCATCTTTAAAAGTTATTATAATATTTATATGAATATGAAAATTTTATGGCTACTTAAAGAAATATTACATATAAAAGATCCTTTGAGTCATCGATTTTATTTATAGGTATGATGTTTCCGAAAGGATTGATCGCAAACTAAAGAGTTGGTAAAACCGTTACATTTCCTGATTCGTTATCTCATCTTATAGCGGCTTATTTATCTTAAATAAACTTATGTGAAGGAGCCTAAGCTTAGTCAATTTTATTAAGTTGTTTAAAGAGACGAGTAGTTTAAAAAAATGACACGGACTAATTTAAAGTGTATTTCTTTTTTTTATATCCTTTTAAATAATTTATATTTTACTACAACTCATCCAATTAAATTACCATCAAGTATAGTTTCAATTGACAGTATTTATACCAATCAACTGGAAAGGGAGACAAAGTTAGAAGAATTAAGTGGTATAACCATTAAAAATGACAGTGCTGAGGCACTCTTACTTGAATATCTTAGACCAGGACAAACTGTTGAAGACTATGCCGTAACAGTTACGAGGAATGGCAATAACTTTGTTGGTCATGCAGTTATACATGTAAAATTAACGATAGAGACCATGGAAATTCCAATAGTATTTAATATGGAAGATTTAGAAATACATAATGTATTAGTAGGTGTTCTTACAACTGCCAACGCAGTGGAAGCGGATTACAATTATGACAACGGAATTTTAGAAGTATTCCCACCTCAACCCGCCACAACTTACACAGTGATTGTCGAATATTCTGGATCTTTTAGAAATGATGGAACTGGTTTGCACTTGGGCAAATATGAGGACAGGTATTATATCACAGACATATTTGTTTTTTTATTTGTATTAGTCAAGTAAAAAAATTATAACTTTTTATTAAAAATGTTTCAGGGACTACATATCAATGAATCTATATCCAACTCATTCCAAAAAAGTTTTTCCTTGTATGGACGATCCCAGTATGATGGCAGAGACAGTCTTTACATTCAATAATATGGGTTATAATAATTTGGTTTCAAACACAAAGTTGATAAATAATGATGAGTGAGTAAAATTATTTATTAATTTTTTATTTGTAAGAAAATGATTCTTCATTTCATAATATTTTTTTAAATAGGACAACTTTCACATCGTTTAATGGGCCTAATCATCTTTGGGGACTATTGGCACATAATTTTAATAACATTATAAATATTCCTCTTCACAATATTCATTTATACGCTCGCCAAGATCTCTCTAGTAACCAAGAATCCCAAGCTGTGGTTGCAATAAATAATTACTATACAGCTCTAAATGAATGGACAGGGAAACCGTATTTTGAAATTCTATCAAATCAAAATGGAAGAATGGATATCGTAGCAATACCTGACATATCAAGGGATTGGTATGCATTATCCACAATTCACATTTGGTGAGTTAAAATCATATCCGTTTTTCATCATAGTTTTTGTATCACATTTCCTTTATAAACTTTTTAAGCAAATTTATATGAATGCAAATGTACAAATAATTACATACTGACCTGACTGAAAATTACTGACCATTAAGAATGAAGTTTATTTTATTGTATAAATTATAATTTCCATTGCCATATATTTTCATATCTAAATATAAAACATAAAATAACATTTGTATGGTCTAAAGTCTTTTTTGGTAGAGATGTGTCTATGTAATTGATAACTTTATACAAAAAGTTTTATTTAATTCTCATCATGTTCTATGCCTCTTATGAATTTAAAAAAAATGTCTTTAACTATTCTTTTTGTATGAAAATTAAGAGTTTTTTCTGTATAAAAAATCGACCTTAGCATGTAAAATTGAATTACAAAATAATTAAATGACGGTAAAAATCTAATATATGCAACCTTATTTTCAAGGGAACCATATATTTTAATGTATCCAAATCATGCTGTTAAGCAAAGACAAATAGCTTTTGTGCAAATTGCTGAGTCTATGGCACGTCAATGGTTTGGATTTGTAAGATTTCCTGAAAATTGGCGTCACCAATGGGTTCTGTCGGGTTTAAGCAGTTACGCAGCTTATGATATTGCTAAAGAGGTAGAGTAACGATTGTAATATATTTGATACAATCATAGCGGGTATTTAATTCATTAAGTATTTTTACGAATTTGTAAGGTTGGAAAGGGTGTTGCGGAGTGAATGTATGTAAATTGACAATGAAGTCTTATTACAGAATATAAATGGAATGTTTTTTAATTTTTTACAGTTTCAAACAAATCCGGAAGATATCTCAATGATTGATATGAATACAATCTTTACAATGAACGTCATTCGGGAGAGCCTTCTTATCGACGCTTATTCAAATTCATTACCTTTGAAGCCTGACGAAGATATTTATGATGAGAATATTATTAGAATGAATATAAATGGCCTTTCAAAAATTAAAGCGCCGGCAATTTTGAGGATGTTAAGATTAATTGTTGCTGATGATGCATTAGACATTGTAAAAGATGCTGCCAGAGCCCTTATGACAAGCAGGTATTAAAAAACGTAATTACTATAAGCAAAATAAATTTTAAATATAAAAAATTGTAAGTATATATCCATATCTCAATTAATCAAATATAAATTTTGATATATTTATGCATTCTTTCACTATTTTTTCTCTGATTTTAGATCGGTACAAACACTTAACACACAAAATTTCTATGATGCTTTAAGAAGTATATTTAATGGAAATGATCTGGTACCAGACGTTAATGATTTTGTTCGTACGTGGGTTACAAATGAGGGATATCCTGTAGTGAATGTCATTCTAAGATCGAATAGAATAACATTTACGCAGGTAAAGAGAAAACATAAAAAATAATAAATATAAACACTAATGTTTCTATAATTTGAAACATAAATTAATGTATAATTTTAGGAACGTTTTAGTTTATCTTCAAGAACCAATGTCGTATATCCTATTCCAATTTCATTTACGACTAGTCTGAATCCAAATTTTAATGCTATATATCCAACCCTTTTATTAGAGGAAGGAGAAACAATATTTAATAATCTTGGAAATGAAGATTGGATTATACTCAATGTTCAAGGCCAAGGTAAATAAATTGCAGTATTAATAATAATCAATGTGATTTCTAAAATTATGTAAAACAATAAAAATGCGTTTACTATACTCATAATAAAATAAAATTTTAGGCTTTTATCGTGTCAATTATGAAGATGTTTTATGGCAGAGACTCATAGAGACTTTAGATAATCCTGAGAGCAGAAATACTATTCATCCTCTTAACCGTGCCGTAGTAAGTATTTTGTAAAAATATATTAGTTAATTTTCTGTACAAATACTAGTTATTGGTCCGCCTTACAATGTCATTTGAAACCAAAATATTTTCTTTGACAAATTAACTATAAAATTTTAAATATTATTGATGTCGAGGGAGTAACTAAAATTTATTGAAATAATATTGAAAACTCTATTTTTCTATAATTTTTAAAACTCTAAATGGTCCGTGTTTAAGTCGTAACAAAATGATAGGTAGGAGGTTGACGATGTTGAAAATAATTAAGTGTCCTTCAATTTTTCAAATTTTTTATGATTCAGCAAAAGGTTTTAGGTTCGACAAGTAGCTTACCTCAACAGATAAATTCACATACTCTGGAATTAGTATTTTTCCTATTAAATTACCTATACTTATTTTATTCACGGTGTTTTGCTTCTTGCATAAAATTTTGTCACAATTCATTGGGCCAATTGAGTATTAAGGAATAACCTACATACTAACAAACATCGCTTTCAATAATATCAGTGGTTTTATTTCTCGTGTATAAGGAATAGTGTGATGAGTATAAGATCATAAATATTGTATGTAATATGCTTTACAGTAAAAAATCAATGAAAATAATAATACTAAAATGAAACTAATATTTTCGATTTATTAAGTGTTATTTTATTATTTTTTAAATAACACACTCTCTTCTCGATGTGAGAAGAGGCTTTTGCTCAGCAGTGGGCTCTGATAGGCCGATGACGACAACACACTCCCGACGTTTAGGTTACTTTGAATCAACCGTAATCACAACATTCACATCTCGTCTGTCCATGATCACTAGTAGTTTTATTTAAATGAATACTCGCTAGATCTTAGATCTCATTATCTAATAATACTTTTCAAAATTTCAGCTAATTGACGATGCTTTAAATTTAGCAAGAGCGGGAAGCGTTGCTTACGATGTAGCCTTTAGACTTGTTTCAACTATGGCACATGAAACAGAATACGCAGTCTGGAAAGCATTTGTAAGAAACGTGGATTTCTTATTAAAATATTTGATGGTCTATGTTGATGAAAATGAAAGAGAAAACAATATTTATCAGGTAATTACAAAATTTCATATTTTAAATTCATTATAAAACCCATCTTTTTGTCAAACAATACTTACTGGTTGTTTATATAAAATTTCAGAGAATGTTACAAAGAACAATTCATGCGTTTGAAGAAGAAGTAGGATTTACTCCAAATTCATTAGATGTTGAACCAGCGATGAAGTCGTTAACCCGTGGGCTCGTAATGGAGCACGCCTGTCGCTCTGGCTACGGTCCTTGTGTTGCCGCAACCTTGGATTGGTTTTATGATCCGAATGAAGAAAATGTTGTGTGAGTATCATAAGGAACATTAGCTATATAATGATATCTAAGCTTATACACATTTAAATTAAACTATTTATGTTTTTCGGATACAAAGGTTTTCTTTGTTTTTTGTATCTGCAAAATGTCGTGATTAAGTGAGCTGTTAAGGAACCAAAACGTCGAGATTATGTACATATGAAATAATAAAAAACACGTAAATACTTAGCTTCATTTAAATTATTGATACAAATACCCTAATTCATAATTAATGTGTCCAATCATATTAATTTTAGAAATCCAAACATCCCTCCTGAATTAAGACCAGCGATATATTGTACTATGATAAGAGAAGGAAATGAGAATGATAGGGCGGCTCTATTAAATCGCTTGGACATTGAAAGATCCAGTTACGAACGTCTTGTAATCCTTGAATCGTTGGCTTGTTCACAAGACGAAGGTTTTATATTAGAGTAAGCTAACGACGATTAAGTATGTTTTATTACCTTTATTGTTTCAAAAGTTACACAATTAAAACATATTTTTTCAGGCTACTTGACGATACGGTAAAAGAAAACAGTCCCTACGTAACGGCAGAACGTTCAAAAATATTTTTAGCAGTTGCTTCATCTAGCTCTCAAAATGCAGATATTGCAGTATCATACATTATAAGCAATACAAATGCTATTAGGAATTCGTAAGTAAATGCATTCTTTCGAAAATTGGTATACCTTGTTTAAAAAAAAGAGAGATTACTTTATGTTCTTTTCCATAAACTTTATATAAGGTCTTTAAAGGTAAGGATTACAAAGAATAGGACACAATTAGTGATTTGTCGTATGAAGTATTTTATTTCAAATGCGACTGCGTTTACTACTCCATTAAAATCTTATTTTCAAATAATTTTTAGTTACGGGGGACCTGAAAAACTAGAAGAAGTGATACTTGGGTTAAGAGACAATCTTGTTTCAAGATCAATTGTCAACAAAGTAAGATTTTTTTAATTTTTCAATCATCAACCTAATAAATATATGTATTTGTTAATATATATTTTTTGATATCAGTTTGACAATTGGGTGTCTTCGTTGGACTCGATAAGTAACTTGCAAGATTCCGATATATTGGCAAGAATGATAAGGGACCAAGCTCGTGAGAATTTATTATGGTACAATCAGAACATAGAAGAAATTTACAACTGGATAGACGAAAATGATGCACCAACACTTTTTATGTCTGTGACTTTACTTTGTATGTCTACGATAGTTGCTTTACTGAATATGTAATGTTTATAATATTTTTATAATTATTTATTTAACAGTGAACGGATAGGGGATATTTTGTTAAGATTAAGTTAAACATTTAAGAAAGTTCGGTCCGAACTGTATAGTCTTAAAGCGCAATATTTTTATAAATGTATTTAATTTTATGTATTTATTATTATAGTTTTGATATGTATGTACATGTACATCCTAAGTTTAGGACAAAATATTCTGACTCTTTACTATCATCAAGATAGTATATGTAGTTCAATCTTCTTATCTTTTAAAAAAATATTCGGATGTTGATGTTATCTACATTTATTTTTTTGTAACGTGTTTTTTAACGCGAGATAAAGGTCACGTTTTGTTAATATTTTAACAAAATTGTTTTGACAAATCGCTAATAAGTCTTTTTGTACTGTGATTGTTTTTGAATATACCAATATAATTTATAACATAATTTAATTATGGATAGGATCACAATTTATTTGTATTTTTTTATGATTGATAGTTTAATGATATTTTAACCGTAAGGTTAAATAAGACGATTTTAAGTAAAAGTCCAATTTATTTTTATTGATATCGTCATTATGCTTCATAGTATGACCATATAGAAAACTTATAATTTATGACCAATTAATATATATTTTGTATGGATGTATAGCGATTTCAAATAAAGTACATATCATACAGTTTATATTTTGTTTATTAATATTATCATTAAATTACCTGACTAGATTCGTAGTTAAAAAATCTTATTAAATCCCATACAAACGTTATTACATTCAATATAATTAATTATGAAGCAATCGATTATTTTGTGTCTTACCTAGACATAAATAAGCAAAAATAAGTTTTCGTTGTAATAAATTGATTATAAGAATGATTACATATATGTATATCAATGACAAGTTATGTTAAAAACAGAAGACTATGTAATTATCTACATATTTCCTATTAATTACTGCATTAAAATGATATGTTACATTAAAATTGTAAGGTTCAGTGAAATAAGTTATATAAAACTTTAAGAGGAATGTCTTAATATATTCAAAAAGATATATTAGCAATAACTTAAGAAATGACACCTCTTATACTCGTATATTTAGCTAGAAAATTTACTTATGTGGTCGTCTGTTATTTTTATATTATTTTATTTAACTATTTAATAAAATATTAACTATGTTTCACTTATTACTATAATTATTAAACTATATAAATAAAGAATTCATTATTACAGCTAGTAATAAAACATTGGAGATGTACAATGTAATACTCTCGTTGTGAGTATTTTCAATGGTTGTTGTTGAAATCTGTAAATATAGAAGTTTTATATAGTTTATAACACATTTTCTAAGTAACTGAAGTTTATTTTAAACAAACTCTTTAAATGTTGACGAGCATTTGAAAGTAGTAGGAAAAGATAGTTTCGGTACAATTAATGTTCTTTTGTGAAGAGGAGATGTATGTTAAAAGTTCAATATATAATCAAATCTTGTTTTTTTAAGCTAAAAGTCTATGTTTAGGTGACTTGAAAGATCAAAAAATCTGATTGAACTGATTTTTTATCAGACTGACTATTATAAATACAATTTTACCTCTGTTGTAGTGGTTGTCGACATCATTATCGGCAAAGGTCTTGGTTGGCCAATGGGCACTTGGTAAAGAAATCTGTTTTCTTCTCGTCTAAAATCATGAACGTTAATCATTTAATAAATACATTCTTTAACTTCTAAATAACAGAGAAGCACAGTTTTTTTAATATTGGAAGTAAAAATAACGCTAGAATTCGGTTGTAGCAAAGTGGAAACTAAATAATTTCGTAATACATATATTTTATACTTTTGTCTCATACACTTACACTTTATGCACAGCAACAGTTTTTTCCTCCTGTTCGAATCTATTTAAAGCAGTTCCAATATCGTAGTTGCCTTCATTTGTAGTCACATAATAACATATTTCTCGAAAATCAGGATTCAATCTGAAATGGTATATTTAAAATTTAGGAACCAAATAAAGCATTGATAAATTTTAAAAGGATTTTAAACTATTAACTTCATTTTAGAATTCTTGTGATCTGAATAAAATCTTCTCATTTCGTTTAGGCAGCGTCTGTATTTCACAGCACATGCGAAATCGACAATCAATTTTCTAAATCGTCTCGTGTGTGGTCTTTGATCCACGTTTGCCATCAGTCGTTTATAAATCGTGGCTACTTTTTTTTGCATGAAAACCTGTAATACATCAGAGTTTATTTGTCGAAATTGTAATTATGTTCCTTTTTCATAAACATATGTATAATATAAAATCACTAAAAACTTTGTAACATTTTATTTGTATTTATTAATTTAAATGTATAATTGAAGTTAATTCAATAACGAGAAGATAATAATACCTGCCATTCCCCATACAAAACTTTGGTCATTTTAGCGCCCTCTATCTTCAACATCTCGAAACCGTTTACGACGGATTCCCACACCACAAAACTAAACTCGCTGTTCAAGTAGTTCAACACACTAATAGAGAGGTTCTCATGAATATCACCAGCTGCATATAGAGCGAATATATCGTTTACAATCTGAAAATAAAGATTTATATTTTTTGAATATGATATTGAAGAAATTTTGAAAAATTTTCAATCAAACCTTAGAAGCTGATGAATATTAAAAATAACGTTAAAAATAACTTGAAACTTAACATTAAAAGAATCAACAATATTCATATTTAAAAATTTGATTTTATTTGATCAAAAAGCTGATTAAAAACGTTACCGTGACTCTTTGCTAAATAATTTCTAATTTTATCTCACCTGTGCTCTATTTAATTCATTAATTGATAAGTGATCTTCTGCCAGTGTTTTTGCAATCAATTCCCAAGTATATACATCATAATTGACTCGGTAATAACCTGCAATGAGATTAATATTGTTGTTATAAAATGTTTATGCTGCAATAAAATAAAATATAAATGAATAATACAATATTCATTAGGGTTAGCCTTGACAAAAGTCATTTACAATATTGACATAAAACCAGAATAGTATTCCTTATATTCATCAAAGAAACCCATAGTACGTTTAAATTGTGGGAAGCGTGTGGGCAGAACAGAAATAGCGTTGCTATAAACGAGCTCAAGGATTTAGCTATCGATGTTAGTGTGTCGATCGAAGTCAAGTTCACTTCCTATACTAAATAGTATATAAAATTAAAGCTTTAAACTTTAAGACACGTAAATTAATTATACAGATTCTAATTAAAAAATATTTAAGAATTGTACATATGTACAAAGACATAAGTCTAAAATATAATTAATGATATTGTAGGCAATAACAAAATATATTAAAATATTATTTAGCTACAGTGATAGATTATTAATTATTCAACATTTCCCCATTGTGCAGTCTTCAGTACAATATTTTTAAAACAGATGATATTCATTTATATATAACCAAATTAATTAATGTCATATTTAATATGTAAAAATATTTTTATAGAGACTAACCTGAAGCATTTCTATTAAGTAGAATCCAGCCGTCGTTTAGATTTTCTCTAAAGGTGTAACTTTGCATGTCTAAAGTGAATCTCGGTCGGTAACAGTTAAAACAATTCTGATTATTTTGAACGATATAAGAAATCGGAATAAGATAATTTGTATCAAATCTGTGCTGATCCGTAAAACTAAACTTCCTCTGGAAAATAACTGTACATGAATAATATGTAACTAAGACAGCTAAAATAAACAATTACGGTAAACATACTTGTTTTAATTGAATAGCGTTAGGAGTTCTATCTCTCAGTACTTGTACATTGACTACAGGATATCCAGATTGATGGAACCAAGAGTTTAGTACTTTAGATGTTGTAGATCCATTAAAGAATTGATTCAGACATTCAACTGTTTCACGATCAACGCTCGCCATGAAATCGTTCAGTGATATATATTGTTCTCTTCTGCAAAATAGTATAATCATATTTGTATTCAACATAATATTACAAATTCCACACGTGATTAACTTTCATTATTAGTCTGTCATTCAAAACCTGTAGTCCTATAGTAACAAAACTGATGGCCTTTTACTTAGTAATGATACGACTAAATATTTAGTAAGTAAGTAAAAAATACAATGAAATTCTTTTCTTTTCCTGATATGAATATGAGCTTAACAAAATTAAAAAGGTTGTAATATATACCTGCTGTTGATGTAATTTACTAGAGCCTGGTGGAATTTCTCCGATCCCAACCAATTTTCAACCATCCACAATAAAGAAGCTGTCTTCATCGTTACCAGATCCTTGTATCTTGATGGTATATCTATAGCCAAAGTTCTGTTGAAAGATGCTAAAGATGGTGTACTGTGATGCCAGTCTATTGCCATTGCTCTGTGTTTCATTTGCAAACCGTAATCACTGAGTGGTCGTCGATAGCCCACTGCTGCCTCACCATGATTATACTTTAAAAATAAGACATAATATTTTAATAAGTATTTTTACTTTAATGAAGTACATTTTTATTAATACAAGGAAATATGATATATAATTTTAATTAATAAACATAATTTCTTTGCAGTTTTTTACATCAAACTATTTACATTCTTGTACTCTCATAACACCTACACCATAATATTTAAATATGAATTACATATAAGTGAATGTAATAAGAGAAAAGGAGGATATAATTTTGTTTATCTTAATGATCTTCGAAACGTTCTTTGATTAGAAATATATAACCCTTACCTGCGTTAAGAAATAATAAGCTAAGTAAGTAGCAACGCCTTCCTTAAACCACTCTTCCCTCCAACGTGTTATCTGACTCTCTCCAGGATTTCCTAGCCAGATGCGACTTAACTGCTGGGATAGCTCAAACATCATATCTTCGATTTGCTGTATGCTCGTGTAATCGTTGATAATTGCTAATCTGTTGTCCCTGAATTTCAAAAATTTATTTGACGTTCCCCTTCATTAGAGGCCTTGCAATATATTCAACAGATTCATAAAAGTAAACATAAAATTACATCGTTTATTGAAACAGCTGCTTTAAAACATCCTTGCATTTTTCGTACAAACTAAATAAACAGAACTTCAGCTATTCAAATATTTGTAATATATGATGAAGGTTATCAAAACATACATTTCTATTAATAACGAATGTATAAACTATAAAGTAGGAAAAGTTGAAAAAGAAAGTGGATTACTTTGAAGTTTATAGTAAACTATTTATAGAATGCACTCACCCATTGGTTAGTAAATTCCAGCTTCCTATCTCGTATCCATTAAGTATTGCTGGTACGGAAATTATATTTATCGGCCCATATACAAGAGTCCTTTTAATAGAGGAATATTCATGAATCAAATTAATGATTATTTGACCAAAGTGTAGTATGAATGTATATTGTGGTAGAGTAGACACTGGCGCCCAAATAACTAATGTGTCATTAGTATTTTTTGCTATGCTTCGTTGACTTCCGAATTTTGAATGATGAAAACCAACTTGATGTAATGCTACCTGTGGTGATGGTAAATATTCCACTATGGTATAGCTGTCCTTAGATCTGAAATAAATTCCCACGTATTTAATGTAACTATTATCGAGGTCACTTAATAGAAGCGGAATTAAATGTGTTTAATTATTTGATAACTCATAGATGGACATTATTGGAAGCTTTCTCGTTAAACACATTTGAGTTTCTCTCTATCAACTCTAATGGTCCTACCATTCTCGGATATAGAAAATCGTAATAACATAACCATTCATACTTAAGAAAGTTGTGGCCTCAGTATTGGCGGAACATGACATCATTCTCGAGAAAATACAAATTTCAATTAAAACAATATTTATATTATACATACATAAGATATCTCGCAGCAGTATGAAAAACTGTCTTATAAAATACGTGATTTCAACAATCAGTGACCAAATATTTATTTTAAAAATATTTTATTTACAACATCTTTACTTTGTACAAACATGAACCGACGTATTCTTTTCCGCTGTTACTTAACCAATTCTAAAATCCCTTCCGAATAGGGCACGAACGAAGTCGTTTGAAAACGGTGTCACTTATTGTGGTTAGGACAAGTTTATGATTGCACCTGGACTTACTATATATAGAATACCTATGACCATATTAAATACTTTATTTTATTACTTTCTTTAATCGGCTTCCTTTTAAATTAGAGTCATATTACATACACGTGATACATCTTATTTATTTTACAGAAATATATTCCTGGACAACTTTCAGAAAGGCATATAAATATATAGAAAAGTATGATATCATTACAATACGTAGAGTAAAATTTTAGAGTAATAACTATTAATATACAAATATATGTACTTACTGTTGTCGTTTAAGCTCGTTAGCGATTACAATACTAGTATTACAATACTGATATCCAGGGTATGGAGGCATCTCGTACACTTTGAATTTGAAAATTGCTTCAAATTGAGAATTATCAAAGCAAGGGAAGAAATATTTTGCTCTATTTGGCGATAGGCGAGTTACCAATACGTGTCTGTAAAAACAAATTGGCAATTATGATTTTTATTCTGACACTAATATTGAGGCTATAAATATTTCTACATTTTAGAATCGATATTTTCAATCATAAGAACATATTATCTTTGTGACCATGTACAAAGACATATTACCATAGGTTACTCTTTCATGGTCCAGTGAACAGCTTTGCGAAAATTAAACTATTGTCCTATTGTATTTAACAAATTGTCCTTACGATTTAATGTAGTGTGAAAAAGTGTATTAAAAAAATCTTAGATTATTGTGTAATATATAAATAGTTTTCCCATAAAACACAAAAATTGTATAATAATCAATTTGGCGTTGATAAAAATCCATATAATTATATGCGATTAAAAAGTATAAAATATTTTTAAATTCAAAAAATCTTAATATCTACTTGTCTTTATGTTCTGAGTATGATTTAAAAATAAACGACACTTTATGGATAATTTTCCATGAATCGAATGAAAAATATTTTTGAACTATCGGGGACTAAAAGTTTTTGCTAAACATTACAACAATATATACGATAACTTTACCATCACTACAACAAAATAACTAAAATAAACTACATACGGTTAAACAAATACTAAAGTTTAGCTTCGGCTATATAGCTTAAGATAATCCTTTGTGAGTTTTTGTAAACAATATACATATACAATACTTTTAAACTGACCTTGTGACGTTAACATTGCAAATGGACATCACCATAATAGGATTTGAGATATTGTATAAGCTAAGGTCGCTAACTTATACCACTTAAAATTTTAGTAGTCTGATAAATTCGTATGCACATTTATAATTAATATCCAAAGGTTTGGAAAAAATTATAATGCAGACAGTTCCATAAAACAAGTATGATATAAATAGTTTTGTTTATTAATTAATTTAAAATATGTAACAATACTCATCTTGTAATGATCAAATTTAGAATAAAATTAATTATTGTCCCACAGGCGTCATTCTTTTATTTAAGAAAAATAGTGTTTTTTAATGTATGACGTATTCTAATATATTAATAATATTTATTTCAGACAAACCAGAAACAAGAGAACAGTGTTAATTATAATTAGGACATAAAACACTCCCGTATTATCGCATGCGGTTTTCAATTATCATAAACGTTCTAATATTAAAAGTTAACTTTACATTTGTTTATTCCTGAAACACTTTCTAATGTAAGCAAATTATGCAAAATGTGGCATATAAATTTCATGATGGTAAGATTTAACAATATGCCTTAATTTCACTTCAATGAGTAAACATAATGAGATGAATCAAGTATTCAAAATACATATGTACATTAATTTTATATTGGTTGATTTAAATAAAATTATAGTATTTATGTGTGATATTTTATGGCATAATGACATAAATTCTCAGGGTCTGAAGCGTAGGCGATTGAAAATAACTGCGTATAACAATATCCATATTTTTTCTGTCCATACTTTACAAACCTATCTTAAAAAAATATATATATATATTTCTTGAATAATTTGAAATACTTACTGAGGTTTACCATTCTCCGTATATGGCACGACGAATATTCCATCAGTGTTATAGGTAATTTGTTTACTAAAAGACATCCTTATATTATATTGAGTCCGATGTAACCTGTACTGTTTGAGCGACTCTCTTAAATAAATATAGATTTTGCCTTTTTTAACATCATATTCGTATGGTCTGTGTTTATTTACTAAATTGCTACCGTTATCTAATACTTGAACAGTTTCTCCTTTAATTTCCAAGTCTTTCGCGTCCAATTCAATAACGTTAACATTTGGCGCGTTAGCTATTATAGTTATTACGATATCACAATCATAATATGACATACCGTCCAGGTATATATGCGGTATTATTGTGAGTTCATATTGCACTGGATACACTGTATAATTAAGGCACTCCTCTTCTATAGTATATGCTGAGACTGAAGACAAGAAAAGCAACACTGCGTATAAAATCATTTTATATCTATCACTCGAAACTGACTTAGAGGTTGTTAAAAATATCTTCATAAGTCAATGAATGTAAAACTAAAACGACATTTTTATGTTTTCACTAGCATTACTAAAGATTTTCGAAACTACCGCCAAGTCGTTGGATACGTCCAACTACAGCGCGGTCTCGAGCGAATTACAAACTCGGCGGTCACTCGGCGTCTCCTATCCGATCTACCATTTTCGTCTGATCCATAACCTTTCTATAGTTTGTTTACAACAATAAGAGCATCCGTTCAATTTTGATATATGTCGTGGTTCACTTTATAATGGACGTGTCTATGTTTACTATTTTCAGTAACTTTGAACAGAAAAGCTTGTTATTATTCATAAGAATCATGATCTTGTAAATAATAGCTGTATGAGTCATCAACTTTTTTTTTAAATCGTATTATAAAAAAGATGATTATTTGAAACAAAAATAATTTATTATGATAACAACATAGTGGTAGTAGTAATAAATATCTTATTTACATGTAGTAGTGGATTGGAATCTCTTCTTCTTCTTAATTGAATAAATTTAATAATTACAAAAAAAATCAACTATTTAATAACTTTGAAATTACAGTATACAATTATCATCAATCATGAAAATGTAAACAAATAGATGAATGGAAGTTAAAAACCCAATTGTATATAACAACATTTGGAGTTAATTAATACAGAACTAAAAGAGCGCCAACAACAAGTAATGCGATTGATGCCGAGGAGGTTACGGCATCGTTACTCAAAGAGCTTGAAATGTCACTCCTATGATTATCAGCCCAAGCTGTCACTGCCCTGGCTTTGGCTAAAGAGCTCTTGGCACTTGCTACCTCATCTTCACTGCACTCCTTGCACGATGACAGGAAGCTCTCGAACTGTAATCGTAAAAATATTTTTAAATCTATTTCTTATTTCTAGATATCAAAATAAGTATTATGCGTTCTATAGTCATGATAATGACCTTACAATCAATGTCACCTCCGCTTTTGGCACATGTTCAAGGCGTGCATTGTGTATTGCAATGTGTTCAAAATTTAGAAATATTTGTGGCTAGTTACAAAGTATATAATTATAGGATCAAATGTTTTTACTGTACACAAATATGGCATTTGAGAATTTAAACACAATTAAATCGTGTCATGAAGTATTTTTTATATATTTTTGTAGAATGTTTATAAGTCGTTATAAATAATGTAGGCGGGTTATATTTGAAAATGCGTGATTTCCTTTATGAGTCATAATCGTGCTCGAGTACCCTGCGATTACTAGCATAAAAATTAGTTATTTTGTCTATTTAGCACTATGTTCTGTAAATGCGTTATTTCAGTTTTTTGCACAATTAGCACTCAATGCTAATGATGTTTCAAAACAGCGTGAAGTCATCACTTCCCATTACACTACATTAATACGTCCCCCTTATTGACCTTTACTAATTGCTGTGCCATTTTAACCCAAACGACTATCCGTCAAACAATTGACACACAGCACACATTCATTAATCGACTTTGTTTGTGAAAGTATTGGAAGGCAGATAATGACTTATGGCGAAAATGTACGTATAAAGAAAATAGTAATTGTACAGAGAATTATCGTTTTGCACCTTAATAAACAGTAACCCAATTATAAATAAAAGATTTTTTAAAGTAATTTGTAATTTGAATTTTTAAATGTTTCAAAATAAATATATTCTTCTTAATTATAAACTTATTCATTAAAATAATATTGTATTTAATTATTATGTGGAAATAAAGTTAAGCTTAAAATTCCTTTTATTTAATGGTTTACCTTTTCAAAATCTTCTTGCGTGTGAAGCGACGAAGCAATGCTTGACAAAACTGACCCAAGAGAAGAATACCTTAAAATTAAAGATATTTAGTAAGAAATGTTTAGAAGGGACTGTATACTTAAATAAATAAAATCAAAACTACTTACACGGATTTCCAAAGAGAAATGTTAGATTGAAGTTCATTCATTACCAGTGGTACATTACTATAATTTGTTAGAACACTTGCTAAGGGTACCGTAAGATCCTGAGTTTTGATGGGACTATTTTCAAGTAGCATGGACACAAGGTAACTAAAACAAATAAAAATAAAACATTTTAATTATAATATTAAGATATTGTGACTGTAAGCGCAAGGAATACCCTCTAATACTGTGATATTACTTCAGTTAATATCAATTCCATATTATTAATGTAATTACTCTAATTACCTCTTCAGTTTGTCTTCCCTTTGGGAACAACCCAGTACATCAGCAATAATCCACGCTTCATTGGCAACATTTGTATTGACAAGCCTGTTCCATAAAAAGTCGTAATCTTCGTCATTTCCATATCTTAACCCAGTGCAATACGCAACACTTCTTAAACTTGGTTGAATCCTTAAAATACAGTTTCAAAAATCAATAACTATTAAGTTTGAGTAACATGGCAAGAGTGAACACACAATCTTGTACTATATATTACCATATATTGTTATCCTTTAAGTCTTTAAACCATTGCAACGACTTGTCAATACAACCTTGATGACCTATTTTGCAAGCGAATTCCAATATTTGCATCCTGTTACGTAATATTTTAAAATCATCTGTAGATTTTACATCATAACCCATCCTATAAATAACTCCATCCATTAGTTCCAGAGCAAATTCCTAAAATGAATGTTTTATTTTGTTTATTACTTATTAAAAAAATAAAATAAATAGTAGATAGAAAAATAAAATAAAGTATTACATCTATTAAATCCAATGTATCAGAACCGATGTAATAATTTCGAAGTTTATTTAAACCTTTCAGAGCTGCGTTCCATACGGCATATTCATTTTCGTTTGACAGGAAATGCAGTAAATTATGTAAAAGTTCGAATTTCACTTCATCGGCAAAAAGGAAAGCAAATAAATCGTTGACGATCTGCAAAATAAATAATTACTATATAAAAATTTCTACTGTCAATAAATAGATATCTTCTTTTATCTCTTTAATACATCTGGTGGCTTCATAGATGTTTGAAATTTTTAACTCTTCTATAAACTTACGATTAAATTAAAATATAAAGGAAAACGTATTAAAGGATTAATTAATTTATTTTTTTATGTTATACTATGAGTATTTCAAAAATATCCTTATAAAATGTTATTAATTTTATTTACCTTAGCTCTATTCAAGTAATGGATTTCTCCACTTCGATTACTCTTTAGGTGTTCCGAAATTAGATGCCAAGTATTCATATCATAATTAACTCTGTATAAACCTAAAAATAATAGAATGTTGAAGTCAACTTTGTATGCATTTCTTATATTTAATGTATACTTTAATGTTGATGTATAAAATTAAGTACTTTATTGAAAAAATTATTACCTGTCTCTTGTATATTGAAAATAGGGAAAGTTTGTTTTTCTTTTATTTCGCTCACTGGCAAAACATGTGTCTTCTTATCCATGATTAGTGCTGGCTTAGTATTTTCAAAGTTAAAATTACTTTCAAAAGTGTAAGTTATTGGTATTATGTAAAGTTCATCCGAACTGTAAGATGAGTTTATATAAAAGCGTTTCTGTAATTAAGATAACTTCACATAAGTCTTCGGTACAATTAAGAGTACAATCTGGAACTGATAGGACTGTTGCTTAGTATTATTTTTACCTGACTTAATTCAATCGAGGAATTCTCATAATCAACATTCACATACAGAATGGGATGTCCTGATTGGCTTATCCACGAACTCATTATGTCAGTGAATTGAAAACCTTCGTAATTAGACAAAGAAGTAAAATTCCTTACTCCATTCTCCAAGGCAGAATATAACAAATAGGGATAACCCGATTGAAATTGGCTAGAATTTGGAAGATAAAATTATAGAATGGTATTTTAAATTTTAAAGTAACAAAATGATATAAAAAATTACTTAGTAGACAGATAGGAGTTTAATCCATATTTAAAGGCGTCATCGCCTATTAAATGATGCATCATTCTTATGACGGATCCAGCTTTTTGATAGGTAATAGTTCCAAAATGTCCACTTATTTCTGATGGTGAATTAACATTATTGTTTGTGATTGCAGGAGAATCTGGATTATCATCGGCATTATAAGCTGAATAAACAGAACCTATAACCAGTGCATCATCAGCTGCTACATCGGGCTCGACCTAAATTATGAAATCAAATTTTATTCTCATAATCAACAAAATGACGTACGTTCTATAAATACTTGTAAATTTATATTCTCACCAAAGAGGTCATATAATCTTGGAAGTAGTTTGCAAAACCTTCATTTAACCAGGTGTTGCTCCACCAGTGGCAGGTGACAAGGTTACCGAACCACATATGTGTTGTTTCGTGGGCCACAATTTGTGCTACTCTATATTTAAAATACGGCGTAGATTCTTCAGGAACATACAACAAAAGAGATTCCCTGAAATGTTTATATTTAAAGTACTACTTTAAAATACAATTCGTTAAATCTGTTTATTAAGTAACAATTTCTAAAACGTCCATACCTGTATTTAATTAGTCCCCAGTTTTCCATAGCCCCAGCTCTAAAGTCTGTTAAAGCTACGTGATCAAGCCTTAATTTATCATTAGTCGAATAATAATCAATTCCAAAGTAATCGCCAAGTGCTTTTACAATTCTTTGCGCAATGTCAAAGGCATATTCAGTTTGGTTTTTAGCATCGGGCCTGGTGTATATCCCTAATTCTTTTTCTCCTAAAGCATTTGATGAACCAGCTTCAAACTCAGACACAAGAAACGCAACAAGATATGTTGACATTCTCGGCGTAGGGTAAAAGATTTCGCGAATATATCCGTTAGACCTGGTAAATATATAACATTTTTTAAACATTCTTTTAGTCAATACTATGCACTACATAAAGCGAAACAAAAGTATTATAAAAAAAAATCTCACAATGAGCTGTTCGACATGATTTCTGTATTTGCTAGAGAAGGCTTGTATTCCGCAGGTCTATCAATGGACATGGTAAATACAGCTTTTAATTCAGGTTCGTCGAAACAAGGGAATACTTTTCTTGCATGGGTGGGCTCCATTTGTGTTGCGCCCAGCCATCTTGAAAAAAATTAACATGATAAATTACTCAAACTATACTATAAATATTTTTAATTATGAAGTATATTTGGTAACATAACAATAACAAAAAATGTCATACTTTTCGTCTAAACATATTAATCTTAGTCTTAGTATTTGTATAAGAAGTGTACTGTGACTGATTATAGATAAGATGATAAAAGAGAATATGATAAAACTTTATATAATCTTATCAGCTTATAACAAATAGTTTTATGGTACTGGCTCTTAAAGTGATAAGAAACATTACAAATCTCAAGTTTCCATCCCATTCAACACCTACATCAGAAATATACATCGTACAAACTGTTATGGATATTATATATATTGTTATTTCACTAAAATAATATATTTAAATTATTGTTATAATTCACAAATCAGATATGAATATATTATCATGACTTAAAACTCTTATTAAATTGTAAACAGAAATATAAATTATTATTTTACTGGAATTAACATTTTTAATTGTATGTATATATCTTCACTATCTTAGTTATTTAGCAAATCTTGATAATTTTGTTTCGCAAATAAAAATATAATGTTTGGTGCTTAGTATAAATAACAAAAGGATACTTACTTTTTTACACCATTTTGGAAATAGTAATTTCTATAAAAACCATTAAGGTCTGTTCTTATTGGTCCTCGATAAACAATTTTAAGAGTATATTCACTCCCAACTACTATATCACTAGCCAAATTGATATGAGCAAAGGAGTAATCTTCTTCAAATTCAAGAGGATTACTTTCATTTAATCCAATAATATTATCGCCATTCTTAAGAGAGATATTTGCGGAAGTGTAAATTAGGTCTTGGGAATGCAGCTTAATTTTGTTAATGTTTGACGTGGTCTCAAATGTGATGGATACTTCGCCGTCGAATGAGAACGCTCTGTCATCATTGGTATCAAAATATGGTGTTATTGTTAACGCGTAAGCCGATGGTACAATAGTTGTATTCAATCTATATCTTGTATCGCTGTGAACTGGCTGTAAGGTGATACAAGCCACCGCCAATAAAGTCTGCCAAATCATCGCTAGAAATATATAAAATAATAAATGATAATTAATATAATTACTTTCACCAAAAACATTTTATGCAATTAGGTCTCTTAAATATTATAACATTATAAAAGTTCTACTTTTAACTTTTTTAAAAGTTTGTTTTATCTTAAAAAATAAAAATGAAATCTCAATATTCTTAAAAACAATGATACAATGATAAAAAGTCAGTGTACAAAATGTGATTTTATCGTAAAGAAGCGATCTGAGCGAGATAAAACAATAATTACATTTTTTTTTAATAATAAAAGGGAGAAGTATCAAGCTAGTATAAGATATATAGTTATGTATATTAGGACCATATATTTATATATGATGTTGTTTTCATAATGAAGGTACAGAGCGGAGGAAGTTTGAAAAAATTGAACTAGAGAAAAAGTAGGGCGAAAACCTTAAGTTAACTTAAAAATGAAATTTGATGGAAATGATAGTTATATAAAAAGGTAACAGGCTCCAATTCCATCTAGGAGCCCAAGCCAACCCTGCCTGCACGTGGCACCCCTGCGGGTTAACGGAAAGGGCTCTGGCGATGCTTTTCCTCTAGAGTTCACTCTAGAGGTTCGGGAGTCAGACGGCAGTCGTCCCGGTAATAGGCAAACAAGCCAATAAAAATGATAGGAAAGGAAAGAGAAAGCAACATGGCTAGGGCGTCGCCGTATAACGACGCGCAGGGGGATCGCCTTGCCCCTGTGATAAGTGGGCGAGGGCTACCGGGTGCCGCGCGAACCCGGCTAAAGAAGTTAGCGCCTGTTGCGAAGATCCGCTTTGCTAGCTGGAACATTGGCACGCTGACGGGACGCTCTACAGAGCTTGCGGCCACACTCGCCAGACGAAAAGTGGCGGTGGCGTTCTTGCAGGAGACACGGTGGAAGGCCAACAGAAGCCGTTACATAGGGCAAGGCTACAAGCTGATCTATACAGGCTCTCCTGGCGGGGAGAACGGTGTGGCGGTTGTGCTTTCCGAGCGCTACCATGACAGTGTCTTGGAAGTCAAGCGTATTTGCGATCGACTTATGGTGGTAAGGGTACTCATTGAGGGAGTAGTAACTCACCTCATAAGTGCCTACGCCCCACAGGCCGGATGCAGTGATGCGGATAAGGCACTGTTCTGGGAGCGTGTCGGTGACGTGCTAGCCGCCATACCGTTGTCTCATGGTATTGTTTTGGGTGGTGATTTGAATGGTCATGTGGGAGAGACGCACGAGGAGTATGGACGTGTTCATGGCGGATATGGTTACGGCCGAAGTAACGCGGAGGGAGAAACCATTCTCCGAACCTGCGTCGCCGCTGACCTGGCCGTAGTGAACACGTTTTTCAAAAAGAAACCTGAGCATCTTATCACCTACAGGAGCGGTCGAAGCGCCACTCAAATCGACTACCTTCTGACTAGGAGAAGCCTTGTCAGCCGCGTGGCCAACTGTAAGGTCATACCCGGAGAGTGTCTAACTGCCCAGCACCGACTCCTTGTTATGGATCTCTGCGTGAAGCCTCGCCGTAAACACGCTGAGCGTTGCCGCCGCCAAATCAAGTGGTGGCTGCTGGATCACACCAGGTTCTCAGAATTTGACTGTGCCACTGGGGACATAAGTCCGGATACAGAAGGCAAGTCCGTTGAAGAGTACTGGAATAAGCTTCAGACAACAATCACGAAAACGGCAAAGCAAATCCTCGGTGTGGCGAAAGGAGGCCGCAAAATTGACAAGGAGTCATGGTGGTGGAATGCCACAGTCCAAAGGATGTTACAGGAGAAGAAAGTGCTCTTTAAGAAGTGGCAAGCGTCTAAATCCCCTGAAGATCACGAGTCGTACAAGGTTGCGAAAAGAGAGGCTAAGAAAGCTGTAGCCAGAGCCAGGCGGGAACACTTGCAACCACTATATGCGAAGTTGGACTCGCCTGAGGGGCATAAGCTCATTTATAAACTAGCACGCTCTAGGATCAGGGCAGCGCAGGATACAAGTCACTGCCGCTGTGTTACTGACGCTAACGGAACGCTCTTGTACGATGAGTGTGCAGTGAAGGAGAGATGGCGCTTTTATTTCCACGGATTACTGAACACTCAACACCAAGAGGTGCGACCACCAGCACCTCCTCCAAACCTAGGACTTGTGCCACCGATTACGTCTGGTGAAGTACTCGATTCTCTTCGTCGCATGAAAAATCGGAAGGCTGTCGGACCGGATGAGGTATCAATTGAAGCGTGGAAAGCGATGGGTGCTCGTGGTGTGTGCATCCTTACTAGCCTTTTTAATTTAATCCTGAACCACCGGAAAATGCCGAATCAGTGGAGGCTGAGTTTCATAACGCCGGTCTACAAGGGCAAAGGGTCTGCTCAGGATTGCGGTAACTACCGTGGTATAAAGGTGATGTCACACACCATGAAACTCTTCGAGCGCATAACTGATTACAGAATCCGGCAGGAGTGTACAGTGTCGGATTTCCAGTACGGTTTCCAACCGGGACGTGGTACCATGGACCCTATTTTCGCCCTTAGGATTCTTATGGAGAAACACAGGGAAAAGAATATGCCTCTTCATTTCCTATTTCTGGATTTGCAGAAGGCCTTTGACTGTGTTCCCAGAGAGATAATCTGGTGGGCGTTGAGGTCCAAGATGGTGCCAAATACCTATGTGGAAATCGTACGAGACATGTACCACAACTCCGATGCTATAGTCAGGACCGCTGTTGGTGACACCACACCCTTCCCTTCCCTATTACTGTAGGCGTGCATCAAGGATCTGTCCTAAGCCCATATCTATTCAGTGTGATATTAGACGAACTGTCAGCCAGTGTACAGAAGTTACCACCGCCTTGGCTGCTGATGTACGCTGATGATATCGCACTGGTGGATGAGGACAAGGGACGTTTAATCCGGCGTGTGCACGAGTGGAAAGGGGCACTTGAGAACGGCGGGCTGAAAATTAATGCGACGAAGACAGAGTATATGGCTTGCAATAGCTCGGATCCTACCTCCATCTGGATCGACGACGTCATGGTAGGGCGTACGGATCACTTTAAGTATCTTGGATCTGAGCTCGATGCGTCCGGAGACATCGACCGCGACATCAAAGCCCGTATAACTGCGGCTTGGGCGAAGTGGCGTGAGGTGATTGGAGTTATTTGTGACCCTAAAATGCCGGTCGTGCTGAAGGGACAGGTCTATAAAACCATCATTAGGCCTGTCCTTATGTACGGCAGTGAGGCATGGCCTCTGCTGGAGCGGCACCGGCGGTTGTTGCATGTCACGGAGATGAATATGCTCCGTTACGCGGAAAGACCGCGTTCGTAACTCACACATTCGTGGCAGTTTGCATGTCCGTGACATTGCCGACAAATTGCAGGAAAGTCGCCTACGCTGGTACGGCCATGTCTTACGACGACCGGAAAACTACGTGGGTCACAAATGCCTCAATATGACCGTACCTGGCGCCAGGAGTAGAGGAAGGCCCAAAAGACGTTGGCTTGATGTCGTGCAAGATGACATGCGTGCCAATGGACTCCACAAGAAGGATGCCGAAGACCGGGCTAAGTGGAGGACACTGAGTGGGAAAGCGGACCCTGGGTTCTCCCGTCCTGGGCGGGACGAACAACCGGGACAAACGCTAGGGTGATGATGATAGTTATATAAAAAGGTGTAATAAGTTCTGAAATCATGATTCTTAAAAATTATATAAAACATTATAGGATTAAGTGCAAAAATATGTGGAGTGGAAATTAATTTTTAGGAGTAATTTTCTAGAAGAACAATGTGAACGATCATGAGAGTAATCGAGAAAGTCATACCACTCCTTTATTAATAGGTATTATTAAGACATTTTCTTTCACCTTAAAATAATTTTTAGATTAATATGTATGTAATAGTAATTCTATTATTATATCTGATATAAAAAATATTATTAATGTAAACAAAATAAAAATGTGGAAATTTATTTGATGAAGTCAATGTGAATGTAATAAGTTAAAATCAGAAACAGGTTTGTTTAAAAAAATATATATAATATTAAAATATTAAACTAACATACCTGGTGTGTTAACAACGACAATTTATTTAGCAGAATGTATTTGATAGCATTTGTAGTCTAAAAGATAACATCATCTCAAGTTTTACCTTATCATTGCCATGAATCCTGATACGATATTTCAAGTATAGATTCTTGCATAAATAGTTCTTATATAAAAACAAAATTATAATTTTTATAATGTTAAACCAAATAATTAGTATAACATACAAATTTAAAAAAGTAAATATTCAAGCAATATGGTAAAAATTACGAGGGATTAGTGATTAAAAGTATTTATTCAGATTTCTCATTACTTTAATTAAAATATGTTTATAACATTAAATAATATACAACCTGCAAAGTATCACAGAAATTCTAAGACTTATTTAAAAATATTTAATGTATGCATACATATGTACAATGTTTATATACGTATAGTAACATATTTTTAGCCCCCGACGCAAGAAGAGGGGCAATAAGTTTGATATGGATATCTGATGCGTGTATGTGCGTCTGTGGCATCACAGCTCTCAAACCGATTGACCGATTTCGATATTTTTTTTTTATATAAGAGCAAGTTTCCTTACGTTGGTTCTTAGAAATATTTGGTTAATATCATACCAGAAGTGTAAGTGTTTTAGATATTTTACAAACTGATGTAATCATTTTTTGCATGTGATTACTCGAAATGCCAATGAAGGCGTTGGGGGTATTTTTAAATTGACGTAAAATTTGGTTATGTTTTTCTTACAATAATAAGACTATCAATGCTGAAATTAAGAGTAACATGGTCGCTGGCAGCACAATAGCAGATGAACCACGCGCTGCTCTGACAATATCATCAGCTTTCTCAGATCCCCATTTCATGTTGGCTCTAGCACTATTAATAGCTGACAAACCAGTCTGGGCGCTTGGAATTATGGCTTGATTAGTGGTTAACCACTGCTCCATCTGAAACAATATCAAAATCTTTCAAATATAAAGTTAATAAATTATAAAAAATTTAAGCATTTTTTTATTTTAAAAGTATTATTTAATGTATTATAGTAAAATATATAATGTACATATAATATTATTATTCTCGAACATATTGTACAGAACTATCTTAATCATTAAATCAGATAATTTGAGATAAAAATGTCTGATTCTAAGCACATGTTGCTGTAACAAGACAAAATGAAGGTCCGAAATCTTATCTAACAATATATATTTTTTTGTAAATGGAATTTTTTCATTTCCATTTATTTTAAATCTCTCTCTTTTAAAAAAATCACTTGATACTTCAATATTATCAATGAAGTGAATGAAGTATTAATAAAATGACATATGTACGTATGGAACAGTTAAATACTTCTTGCCTTAACAAACAAAAATATTAACATATTTTATGGATTCTAAAATTGGTTTTCTTAAATGGGTCCAAAAATTTACCTATTATAGTTTTTAAATCGATTGTGTTTTTAAGAACAAATGGATGTTTTTCCACTTGTTTTTCCACTTGTTTTTAAAAAGAAATGTTATTGTTAGTTTTGAACACATTATCTCAGTAACAAATTATTCACTATGACCTTAAAATTTATGTCTTAAACTTAATGATATTTTATTTAAAATTAAATAAATATTTCTAACTTGAATTTATATCTTTTTATGAAAAAATATCCGTTAATTAATCCTAACATAATTTCATATTTCAGTTCTATAAAAAAAAATAACAAAATTTCTCGAGGAAATTAATTATTTACTTATGATTATAAAAAATACATACTTAGGACAAGTTGACATTATCATCTTAAGTTATTAAAAAAACTAGCAAATAATAATTGGCCTCTTGTTGAATTTTATAAATAGGAAGCGTATTTATAAAAATGAAAATAAGTAAAAATGAATATAGGGAATAAGTACAGGCTTAAAATAAGTAAAAAAATATAGCTGCGAAATCCTATCTGTTGAATCGATTGTAATAAATCCGATGCGATTTTCTACTTGAGTTCGTCGTTCGTAGATTCGTCTTGCATTCTCGAATTTCTTTTTTTGTTTACTTTAGTTGGTAATGAAATCACTGATGTTCAATTATCCGACAGCTATTAACATAACTAACAATATACGTAGTACTTGAGTGCTTTTTGAATGCTTTAAAAATTACAACTACGAAATTCAGATTTATATAGAAAGAAAATCAAAAGATACAATTAAAGTGTAAAGATAGCCATTTCAATGTTAACTCTTGAAATTAAGTTACTTAAAATTCAATTAAAACAAAAATGGACATGGGTGTGATGTACGAAAAAAACTAAGACTATGAGTCTTCCAATGTTACTGCTCTTCTTGTAGACTATATTTTAGAGAATATTGACAAATTAAGCGCTTTTTTCTAGTGAATATTGTAAGTCTCCATCAACAGTTATATTCGTATAATTTTTATGACTAGCTTATGAATTGATTAGTTTTCAAGTATTAACATATAAATTAAAATTTTATTTTATGACTATGATAGAATATTTAAAACCCTAAACTTACTTCTTCAAGAACCTCTTCATTTGAATAAGCAGCTAGATTACTCAAGACTGTTCCAAACCATGTCTGCAGGACAACCCTGTAATGTGAAATTTATAGTGTAAGATATTTTACACACACTTTTAATTAACTTTCGTAATACCGACAGGTACACAAACATGGTCGAAGAAGAAATAGTTTAATAATTAATGTTATTGATTATATATTATCATGTTATGTGGATACAAACTTACAATTGCGTGTCAATATACATACTTACTTTTTTCTTACTTCTTCCCATCTTTCTTTCATAAATTCTAAGGTGTATCTAGTATTTTCTCTGTTACCCATGAACAAAAATGTAAAAGCATTGCTGCTATCTTGAGCTCTCAAGTCATCGCTCAAGATCATTTCAAGGTATCTGTAAGTAAGAAATAATAGTATTTTCCAATGTACTAATTCATAAAATAGAAAACGACCATTCATTATAAATTAGATATAGTTTCTAACTAAAAAACTTCAGAAGATTATACTCAGGAAGAAAGAGAAAGTAGTAGTAATGTGACTGAAAGTGTCATGATCAAAATATTATAGATTTGTCTTACATAAAAATATATTATTTATAGCTATAAAAGTAAATCTATTATGATGATCGTCTAGATTTTTTTTAAAATTTTTATTAATAGGTTAATTAATTAAAATAATAATCATATGTATGTGAAGGTAACTGATAATCACTTCAATTATTGTGAGAAAACATAAATATAATCATTATCGCCAATAATCTGGACTTAAGATAAGAAAATTAGACCAAACTATCAATAATAACACTAATGATTCGTACTGGCTATACAATTTTTCATTATGTATTATAACTCACTCTTTTACAGCTTGATTATTTCTCGTACATCCAAGTGATCTTAACATTGCATATTGATCAGCTTGGTTGTTGGAATTAAACCACCTTTGCTGTAAGAACTTCCAATCATCATATCCTCCATGTAATAAACCTTGGCAAAAGACATGCCTTCTAAGATTCGGATTGACACTAAAATAACAGAAATGTAAAGATAAAGTTTTAAAAAAAATCAGTCCACTTTATTCTCCCTTTTAGTTGATAGATGTAAGTAAAAATATTACGTATTAGTAATATTGCGTGCATAAAACCTATTAAGAAAAGATTTACGTGAAGCGTAATCAAATAGGCTATTGTAGAGCAATATCGATATGAGGGGAAATTGGCCGCACCTAACATTTATAATATATACAAAAAGAATGACAATCAAATAAATGAATATTATAAAAATGCGAAAATAACCTAATAATAAAATTTTGATGTTATTAAATATACATATAAACTCTTACGGTACGCCACTACTTCTAAAGGAATTGAATTTTGTCAATGCATTATTGATGCAGCCCACGTGACCGATGTTACAGGCGAAATTCAAAATGTAAAATCTGTTTAATGTTCTTGTTACTGACTCGCCATATTGAACGTCATACCCCAGATCAGAAACGATTGTATCTAGAAAACTATAAAGGATTTCCTAAAAACAGGATGACATAAATTAATCATTTTAAATTACTTGCATCATTATGAAACAGTGAACAACTATATTATTAGAAGAACATTTACTGAGACTTTATTATTAATATCAACTTACATCGAATTCCCTTAACTTTTCTGGTAGATGTAAAAGACGATTTCTAAGCCAGGTAAAGCCAGAAATTGCTGGTGTCCATGGATAATAATCTGTTTCATCCTTAAGGAAATCAAGAATCCTAAAGCCAAGGTCAAAAGACAACCGTTCAGATCTCATTAAAGCAAATACGTCATCGACAATCTGAAAACCATAAGAATATTTTTAAATTTATATTTAGTTTGATTTCTTAATTTAGTTTCACATATTACTATATAAAAAATATAAAAATATTATATAGAGATTAAAACTTTACATAATTCTGTTATTACCTGAGCTCTATTTAATCGGTGGATACTATTACGATTATTTTTCAAAGCAGCAGCAATGAGTTCCCATGTATGCGTATCGTAGTTGACGCGATAAAAATCTTGAACAAAAATTTTGATAATTCAGTATTTAATTGACATTCAATAAAAATTAAATTTATTTAAATACTAACCTTTTTGTTGTAAGTTAAATATAACCCATTCCTCACCCGGATCCTTACGCAGCTGGATTGTTTTATTGAGCATAACAGTTTTTGGAGATAAATTATTAAAATTTGAATTACGGGACGTTGTAAAAGTTATAGGGAGGGGCCAAACTTGATCTGTTGGTGTTGATGATGAACTTATGAAAAAACGCTCCTGAAATGAGAAAGTGATGTTCTAGTATAATATATAAGGATAATAGTTATAAATTCGTTATTTTGTATGAAGGACAGATGATCTTTTAAAACATTAAAAATAGAAGTACTCTACTAATATTTTACTAAAGTCATTTTAATACATTTAGTTGACTCGTTGAAGTATTTTTACCTGCGTCAATATCATGACGCCATTATTCATATTAACATTGACGTTAATAATTGGATATCCTCTTTCTTCGACCCAGTAGTTCATGAAGGCTGTAATGTTTAAATTTTCTATGATTCCATCTTCATTAACTGCCCTCTGGAAAGCACTATACAGATCAGAAGGCACTGCTTGTTCATATGATCTGCAAAAGAAATTTTTTTACATCTCACATAAATTTTTGTTTACTCAGAACATTATATACATATAACGAAATTTGTAACTTTTCAAGGTTATTGTTTCAATTTATCCTTTTAAATCGATAATCAATATTTTCTAGTTTTAACAGTCATTTTAGATAATCCCCTGTTATCACGTGTATTTACAATACGCCAATGAAAGAAATATGCGATAATGTTGATTATAATTATCAGTAAAAATTATTTTATCTTGATATGGAAATTTCAATATTTTTATAAAACCTGTTCTAACCAGATTTATCTTAATTGATGTTTTTAATATTTTTTGCCAAATAATGAAATTAATAAATAATAATTTTTTAACAAAATGTTTTTTACCTATCTACGAGAAAATAGTTAAGAGCTTTTTTAAAAGTAGGCTCTCCTAATAAATGCTTAAGCATCAATAGAAAAGCAGCTCCCTTTGTATAACTTATACCACTAAAGTGACCAGTAACTTGAGCTGGTGTATTAACAGTGTGTCTCAACGCCCTAGTTGATGCTGAAGAATCACTTGACAGAGCATTTTGTACTGTTCCTGTAATAAACTTATCTGCCAACTCTAAGCTTGGATCAACCTTAAAAAAAAAAATTATTAACAACAGCATAGGAATTATACAGAATAAGTATTTCGATGTTAGTTGATAAAAACATTCTCCTTACACCGTCCATTGCAAAATTTTCAAAATAACTAGCAAATCCTTCATTTATCCACACATTGTCCCACCATCTACATGTAATAAGATTTCCAAACCATTTATGTGCCAGCTCGTGGGCTGTTATAGTTCCAATGGTCATTTTGTCGACAGCATTTGTCTCACCTTCTTCATAAAGAAGACGCATTTCCCTTTAATTGATACGTATAAGGTTATATTTTTTTTAACATAATTTCTTAATTCATATTATTCCTTGAATTTGTGTCGAATGGCTGTAGAATGTTAAACTAAAACTTACCTATACGAAACCAATCCCCAATTTTCGGTAGCACCGGACGCCCAATCTGGCGAGGCGATCTGGTCATTTTTTATATCATTTGCCATTGTATAGTATGATATATTGAAATAATCGTCCAACCATTTTGTTAGGGGTGGACCAACTTCTAAAGCGTATTTACCTTGACCCCTCGCATTGGGTCTAGCAATAATGCGGTATGATGCATTATAGTTATTATTATCAGCAATTACTTGAAACTCCTCACTTATATGAATGGACACTAAATACGCCGACATCCTGGGAGTCGTATGAAAAATTTCTTGCTGACGATCTCCCACACTATAAATAAAAATATATTTAACAAATGTTTTTTGCCATATACACATTTTGACTTATATATACATATACTTACCGAGATTGGCTTTTTATTCTCATATTAGAAAAGGTTTCAGTGAAATTAAGTGGTCTGTTAACAATTATGTCAAACGTTGATTTAAAACCTGGTTCGTCGAAACAAGGAAATAATTGACGAGAATTTGTTGGCTGCAAGTGGGTTCCTGCGTACCAGCTGTAAAAGACACAATAAATTCTTAGTAATTTTATCATATAAAGAAGCTAAACAGGAACAAACATACGTACCGTCTCCTTCCATCATTGTCTCTATAACTTCCTCTAAACATTCCACGAGAAAGTGGAGTCTCGTTAATATTTCCAATGTACGAAATACTTATCTTACATGTTTGATTTTTTTGCAACACTGTTCCGTTTAAGAGACTAATTTCTAGAAAGTGCTGTTCACGAATCCTTTTAAAAGAACTAGCTAGAGTTACACCAGCCTCGTCGGTAATGTTTACTGATAAAATTTCTCTTACATTTTCGTGCAGAGTTAAAGTGGAAATGTTGTCTCTGACTGCCTAAAATATAATAAACATATATTTTAAAAAAAGGAAGTATTTCTTTTTAATTTATTGGTTTGGAGGACTTACTTTGACTGTTAATAAAACAAATCCATCAAAAGTAAACGCCTTGCTGGCCGATGGATCTTCAAAATAAGGTGTTATTTCAAAGAGTATGTTAATGGGATCCAAATCTTCAGGTAAACGATATATGTCCTCGTCATTAGTACTAAAATATATCGGTTCTTCGAAATCTAAAGGAAAATCAGTTTTCACTATGGATATCAACGCTGGTAATAAAACCAGCTTATACAACAAAGCCATTCCTGAAAAACTATGAAAAGAAAAGTATACAATCTTTTAGGTGTCCAACATTAATGCAGCACAATTTAACAATTATAAAAAGTGATATCTACCTATTCCTTCAATGTTGTGACCTATAATAATGTTTATTAAAAATAAAAATTATCTACCTTAACTTTACTGTTATATTAAATAGTAAACTTATCAAAATTATATCAATAAAAAGAATTAAGCGATCCTTTTGAAAGTCATCCGCATTCACTATCTTATCATATCTTTTAATAATTAATATGTAGAATACATATCCTATAAAGCACCTTAAAAACATGTAAATATTTATAGATATCACAAAATTAAACGATGTTGTATGGTTCCCACCAATAGTTCAATTATTTTATGTTAACAGAAAATGTACAACTATACTTTACTAATTTCGCGATGTGAAAAAAGTTTTATAAAATTGTACGCTTTTAAAATTTTACGGTATTTACCCGATATTCCTTAAGTTTTCTTTGCCGCTAGAAGGGTGCAATTTTTTAGACACGAGATAAGTTTTTCCCTAATTTTGACTGATGATTCTTCAAGTCTTTCTTTTTAACGGTATCTGATGGTCACTATTTAAATCATAAGTACACATAACAACTCAGAAGTACTTACGTCTACTGTAAGTTATCAATATCAGTATACATATATTCGAAAGTCGAAGAATAATTTGAAGCAAGTCCATATGTAGAATCCGTAACTTTTGGTAACGTATTGTTTCGTACTCGTATTTTAAGGTAACAAAGATTTCTTTTTCCATTCATTAGATCACTAATGGGTGCATTATTTGGTTTTAATTGTTTGCACATAACATAAAATATCCATTGTTTTTGAAGAAGAATTTTGTTGATTATTATTGTTTTATAAATGTAAATAGTTGCGAAAAAAAAATACTTGAATTAACAATTCAGTACCACTTCATTATGCAATACATGTGTGTTCCATACACATGATTTTAAGTATGTCCAGTTCTAATTTAATTAATGTTCAAAAAACTGATTATTTTTATTTATTTTGTATTGAAGGGACAAAATAGTAAAAGTTATAAATATTTATTTTATGTCATAATTCTGAAGTGATGAGGAAAAACCTAGTAGAGGGAAATAACTTAGTTTGTATTTTGTTCGCTGTATACGAATATTGGTAATTAAACTAATCTATTCAGTTATATTTTAATTCAAAAATACTTTTAAAATAATCACACACACATTTATTTTAACGCCAAAATAAATAACAATATGAGGCAATAAAGAGTGTCAAAAAATAAATAATAAATAATTATTTGGTATTTTTGTATAACTTTACCTTCAGATAAGCTAAGTGGAATATCAAAAAATAGAAAACAAGTAAATAATGATATATGTAGGTGCACACAAAACATGGAATATTTTTTTAATGTAACCTTATTTATCAAACATCGAATTTAAATAAAAACGAAAAGTGAAAGACTCAAATCTTTTATTAAATTATTAAATACATTTTGGTCCATTTGAAAATAATTTAATAGATACATAACTTAAGCTAATTTTTTATGTACTCCTCTTATTCATTATACATTTACACTTTTATATATGGATTAATTACATTTTTATTTTGTATATGAATTATGTGGTCCGATTTTAAATAAACTTGGTTTTATATTCAAAAATAGATAAAAACTTATGCATTTACACTCAATAACAACATTGCCACCATTAAAAATGTGGATACAATTATTGTAGACGCCCCATCTCTTGCAGCATCAATAATCTTTTCAGCGTTTGTTTTCCCCCAAGCAATATTATTACGAGCTGATCTTATAGCAGCCATTGCTCGGCTAAATTGACTTGAATTGGATTGATCCCTTTGGAGCCAGTTCTCGTACTACGAAAAGGTAAACAATGTCTTAATGCCCTAATCTATATAATAATCATAACGTATACAATATTTAAATTCGATCCTAAAACATTATTCGTGTGTTCTATTTGCATACTTTTATCGATATCGAAGTTTTGATATAATCCAAATTGCTAGATACTTTTAAAAACATGATAATTTTGTGATAAACACAATGAAAATAAAACAAACTATTTAAAAAATCCCCTATTTTTAAAAATCTACTTCAGGAGAAAAAATATTATTTACAAAAGTCTCATCTGGCATATTTTTAATTGGATGTTAATGAAAAATATCATCAGTTTATTAAAATCATTAAACAGATTACAAGATTAAATTTTATTGCAAAACATGCTATATAATTAAATTAATGTTTATAGGCTACAATTAGATTACTACTGTCTTTATTAGAGGCTTAAATAATGAATTTTTCTTTTTAATATACATACATTATTGTTTACTTACGTCAGTTAAACGTGATTCATCAAGGTAACTAGCAAGATTGACGAGAGCCGTATGAACAGGAGTGGCAGGAGAATCCTCAACAAAACTAAAAAAATATTAAATAATGATATACTGACATAAAAAAAAACCTTATGGTATAAAAGAAGCTGTAATAACTTACGCTTTTCTAATAGCCTCAATATTGCTTTTCACAAATTCTAAAACTACTGCACCATTTTCCTTATTTCCAAGAAGCGCATAATTAAATGAATTTACTTTATCATGAGCGCGAACTTCTTTTTGTAAGGTCAATTCGAGGTATCTAAAAAAACATAAATATTAAATCGATTTAAAAAAAATATGTATTATCTTTTTCATCTAACATCTTGTATATATGGATTTAATACAAACCTCCATAAAAGTTGTCGATCTTTAGTAGCAGCCAAGCCTCTAAGCATTTCCAATTGATCATTAGCAAAATTCGATGTTTGGAATCTATTTAAGAGAAAATCAAAGTCCGCCTGTCCTCCTTCTCTAATACCCGTTATATAGACGTGACGTCGAATTCTTGGATCAATCCTGCAGTTTTGTAATAAATATGTATATAATGGGATTTCTGATAATTAGATTTAATGTTGATATTTCATTTGCTTTTGAACTTAATATCGAAGAAATAGTTGTGGATGAAAAAACACTACACTTTTAATAAGTTATACACAATATATATATTAAGGACCCAAAAAATCGAGTTAAGAGCAAAATAAAAAAAAACAGCTTTTAAAAAATGTGAAGTACTTACCAAGCATTTGAATTTCTCATAGCTAAGAATTTACTACGGGAATCTTGGACGCATTGTTCTAATCCAATATTACAAGCAAAATGTAAAGCTTCTTGTCTTAACAAAGTAACTGTAGTACTTTCGTCAGAAGCTGGTTCGTAACCAATTTTACTAATTACATGATCCATGTAACTAAGGATGTATGACTAAAGAGAATGGATAGTAAGTATGGTGATAATACCAATTAAATTGATTTAAATTCTATAATATGTAAAACAAGATAACTTGCATGAGGACTCATAGAAAATCATATATAAATATAAACATGAAAATTTAAAATTGTATAAATTTTAAACTTAAACTCACATCAAACATAGTTTGACTCTCTGGAACCTCTCTCATTCTGTTTCTAAGCCAAGTATATCCACTAATGGCTACCGTCCAGACATGATAATTTTCTTCGTGCCGTAAAAATCTTAAAATTTTAAAACCAAAACTGTATGTCATCCTTTCAGACCTCATTAAAGCAAAAACATCGTCAACCACCTATATAAAAATAGAACATTATAAAAATCATCTTCTTTATGTGTTTTTTAATTCAAACACTAAAAGAAAAAAATATCACTCCACACTTATGCTGGGAAGATCTTAAATGGAATGGTGTAAGTCTGGTGGTATAATATCCGAACGTCCAGACGTCTAGAGATCATCATCCAGTTTCCAACCACCAAAATAAAGCTACTTTCCGATTATCGATAATAAGGGAGGTACTCGTCCTCGGATTCCATATGTGCGATCGCGTATATGATTACAACAATTTGTTATTTACCTGACTTCATTAATTGGTTATTTACCTGAGCTCTATTCAGGTAATGAATTGAATCAGGGTCAGCTAACAATGCGTCTGATATTAAATTCCAAGTTTTCTCATCGTAATGTACCCTGTAATGTCCTGTAGAAATAAAAACAAAGACAGAAAATATATGAAAATAAAGTTATCTAATATTTTATAACATAATTTTATCTATTTGTTACTTAAATCTTCTTAAAGTTTTAAAAATATGACACCTTTGATATAGCACATTCTTTTAATGTTATATGTTTTATAATTAATATGTTAACTAAGTGATTTATATATGTAACTGACTCATAATTGATATATTTATAGACAACGTGTATGTTGAAACCAAAGTTAAACTATTTACCATGTTGCTGAATGTTGAATATAACCCAATCTTCACCAACATCTTTACTTAAAACAGCATGACTAGACGTCATCATATAAGAAGGCTTCAAATTTGTGAAGTTTGATGTCGATTTAGTTGCGTAATTAATGGGTATAGGATAAATTAACGTACTGGGAGCAACTGATGGACTAATATAAAATCTCTCCTGTGAATAAAAGGAAGAAAATAATTTAAGAGCTTCATATTATAATCAATATTTTTTCTCTTCTAATAAGTTTTTTACAAAATCATAACGTTAAAATAACATTATTAGAAATCCACTTACTTGTCTTAAATTAATTTCGCCATTTCTACGATCAACATTTACAAGCAAAATAGGGTAACCAGGCTCATTAACCCAAATTCTATAAAAATCGGTAAAGTTGAAGTTAGGATATTCACTTAGAGACTGATCTTCATTTATTGCTTTCTCAAAAGCATTGTATAAATCGTATTGATCAGTGGGTTCATACTGGCTAAAAAATGAAGTAAAGAAGATCAATGACTATACACAGTTAGAAAAAATGTGTAAATAAATTTAAATAAATTTTTGGTACACCATTTTTAAAAAATGGTGTACCAAAAATGATGCTATAATTAATTTGATACGACGAATTACGGAAACTTACATTAAAAATAATATATATACACATATTGGAAGTACATATAATCGAGTCTAAATTTCAATCCTAGCTTATAGTTAATTACACTCAGGAATCAATGAGAGCAGTGTGTGTGGTATTAAAAAATATTAAATTATTGTACTAGAAAAAACTTACTTGTCCAATAGAAAGTAATGACATCCTTTTCGGAAAGTCTGGAGACTGATTATGTTAGTCAGCATTCTCAACACTGCCGCACCTTTCGAATAACTGATCGTACCAAAGTGACCAGTGACTTGAGCTGGCGTATTTACTTCGTAATTGAGAGGAACTGTAGAAGCGGCTGAGTCAAATGAAAGGCTTGTCTGAAGATAGCGAGAATTGAAATGTTTGTCCAATTCATATTGGGGAAACATCTGAAATTATAATTTCTTACTTAATTTTCTGCACTTATCCTAGTAACTAACATATATTTAAGTAAGTCTAAGATCAACCTAAAAATAAAAAATATGATAATGCATTCTCCTTACTTGATGGGCTGCCATATATCCAAAATAACTTGCAAAACCTTCATTGATCCAAGTGTTACTCCACCAAAAGCAGGTGATCAAATTCCCGAACCACTTATGAGCAAGCTCATGAGACACGAGAGTTGTAGCGTAATGTTCAACGGACATGATGGTTTCTCGAGGGTCAATAATTAAATACAACTCTCTAAAAACATACAGTCCTTTAAATTTTTCAACATTTTATTGACTGCCCAAGGGTTTATCACTTACCTGTAGCTGACCATCCCCCAATTTTCTGTTCCTGCACTTGCCCAATCGGGTGAAGATATATGGTCATTCGACAAATGGGGGTGGAGACTCGAATACGGTATTTTAAAATAGTCATTAAAATATTCAGTCATTTTCACTGTAAGTTCCAAAGCATGATTACCGAGACCAACAGTATTTGATCTACCTATGATCCTTATAGCTGGTTCATAGGATTCGTCACTAGCTATAACAGTAAATGTTTCACTAACTAAAAATGTTACCAAATAACTGGACATCTTAGGTGTTGAAAAGAAGTTGTAACGAATCCGAGTGTTATTTAACCTAAAAAAAATACCATAAATCTGTAAATATAAGTTAACATTAAATGTTTGTTTAGAAATAAATAAAATACTTACGTTTCTTTTGTTTCAATGCCGGTGTTAGAGAAAGTGCCCGTATAGCTATTGGGCATGGACAAATGAATTTTGAAAACCGCTTTAAAAAGAGGTTCATCAAAACATGGAAATGCCTGCCTAGCATTGTACGGTTGAAAATGGGTCGTGGCATATACTCTGTAAAAAAATATGTCTACATATAATAAACTGATATTTGTTTTTATAGATTTTAAATGATTATGCTTACCTTTCAGTTCCATTATTATCAGTATACCAACCTCGCCAGATTCCTCTTTTCATAGGACCTTCATTCATAGTGCTCATATAACTTATAAAAAGTGTGTAATTTTGTCCGACATTCAAGGGTTCAGACAAATTTAATATCATGAAATGATACTGAGGCTTGTAAATAATTTCATTTACCGGTACAACAACACCATTATTTGTTAATCTACATTCATGTATCTCGTCAACATTAGAATGTAATGTTATACTTGTTACGTTTGCTTCAATAGCCTAAAAGAATTAATAATATTGCTTGGTTACCTATTTGAATAGTGATAATAATATAAAATTTGATTATTCTTTTCATTACTTGTATAATAATCGTTTCTCGACCATCATAGCTAAAGGGCCTGTCCGATCTTTCAGCAAAATATAAATCAATGTACACATCATAGTCTAGTGGTATCACATTTATGGGTAGTCTATATACTGTTTCCAAATTTCTTGCGGACGATTCAGTGGAAAAAACATTTTCCTCTTCTATATCAGATAACCATATCGGATGATCTCCATAGGCAAAAGTGTTAACGGCTATTAGTATTAACAGAACTGATAAAGACATCACTGGAAATAAAAAGAAAATTGTCAAATTTGTAAAATATTAGTAATAGGAGATATTAATGATTTTTTTTTGTCTTAAATTAATAGTTTACTAATTTATAACATAGAAAAAAATATAAATAGGCTTCAAAATACTCTACATGTTTTTAAAAGTGGAACTTAAAAATTGAATTAATTTAAGCGGTTGAAACGCCGTCATTTTGTGCGTCATATGACACAGCCAGTGGGTCTTTTCAGTTATATAGTACATATACACAGTCTTCATAACTTTAAAACCATTTAAGAAACAAAAAAAATATCTTATAAATATTGTTTAGTACCGGAGTGTATAAATTTTATTTGAAAAACACCCGACATAGTGTTTTTACGTATTTCAAGTGATGTGAAAATACGAAAACGACGGTGCAAGGTGATGAGGTGGGATAATATATCACCTAAATCGTGTTTATATTGTTGTGAAGATCATTTAAACGAAACTATTTTATCTTATACTTTATTTATATACGGCTTAGTGTCAATAAGTAAAAAATAAGCTTTGCATTAGCTATTGAACATTAGAAAATTCGGTTTAAAATTAACCTAAACTGTTAGACAAGTTCAGTACCTATAACTTTCTATAAAACTTTATTCCTGTTGTGGTTATACAAAATTTCAATTAAGTGAGTCTAAGCCACAATCAACTCAAGAATACAGGATTAAATTATTTAATTTTTGTTAAATCCCGTAAACCAGTATGAATTCGACGCTGTTGAATGCAATGTTGTATCAAATGACGAAACATTTCGTTCGTCCAATAGTGACGCGGTTTGGAAGTTTGAATTTCGCTCCCTTATTGTGCACTTTTTGACTATGATTTTAGTGGTTTGAATAATAAGTTAATAAAAATATACCTGTTAATTATACTATGACGATAATAAGTATTCGAGAAAAAAATATTTTAGGCCATATAAAATTTTATGCATTTTCCCTATTATAATGTAACTACGATTTTCGGATTTACAGAGTGATTCTTTGTATAATTTTACATTTTCATTAAAATAACGTTTCTTTTCGGTCTGTCATAACTTTTTATTGTGAAATATATAATGTATATGTAAAAATATATAAATATAACTCGCTTATATGTATATTAATAAATTTGATATTCTATGTTGTAACTGTTAAGCCTCTTGAATTCTCACTATTATAAGACGTATTATGTAGCCGGATTGAATACATAATCTTTTATTTTAAAATGTTATTATTATAATAATAATAGGATACCTAGCATTTTTTTAATAAATATAACGTACAGGAATACCTGTACGTTATATTTATTAAAAAAACTAATAAGTTTTAATGAAAAAAGTTTTTACTTCACTTACTTGAAAAACGATTTGTCACCAAGGCGAAATAAGATTAAATGTATAAAATTTATTGTTTTTATGTTGTGCAAGCAATAAAGTGATAAATTATTTAATGATATGATTACATTTTATAATCTTTATCATAATAAGAAACTTTTGAATGATAAACCAATTCAAAACTATTTAAAATTGGCATTTGTTTTCCTGTTTGTTTTCCAATGTGTTCCCCCTTCCAAAGATCTTCGCCTCTTGTAATATTGGAATGTTTTACTTTTATTTACATCCCGTATGTGTGACCAACATCTTAAATCATATCAACCTTTCGAAATATCATACGTAGCACAAATTATACCTCAATTATTTGCACAGATTATACCTTAATATATCCATCCCAACTGTTTCCATTTCAGAAGCTATTACAAACGCTACTCTCAAAACGCTATAAATTCCCTGTATGAATAGCTTTATCATATTTTTTCTTTTTGGTATAGAATATCCGAGATCCGAACCGTTGTCCCGAAAGCAGCAAGGTAGAAGTCCATTTATATTCATATCTTTTTTATGACATGTTACTAATTTAATGTATCTTTAATCGCAGCATTGATTGTAACTTTTAGTAAAAAATGTATATTTATACAAATTACGTATTTTTTTGATTAATTGGGTAATGCTTGACTCTTACCATAAGGTAACTGGTTTTTGCTGTGGAGGTTTCAAAATTGTAAATGAACGGAAATACAGACACAGGCAAAACAGTTCCTATCTTTTTGCTAAATACTAACAAAAAGAGGCATATAAAGGGTGACTATTCATTCATTCTTTTATAATTATACTTGTCTCATAGAATAAATCAAATTAAAGTCGTGAGATGACATTTCGTAGGAACTATACAAATAAAACAAGTATATATTGTATTTATCTTTTTAACTATGATATAATTTGTGTAATGAAAAACAAAACAAAACAACCGTTTGTTGACTGTCCGTTATCATACAGAGTGAAAGAGTTCCGAAATAAAGCCACACCACCAGCGACACGAAAATATTCAACCAAAACATTCGTCTCCTCATCACCCCTCTGATGTTGTATTCTATCATCGTGGGCCTTCAAGTTGACAGTGGGGCCTTTGCTATATTGTCATCAGAGGTCCTTGCGGATATGTGGATACACCCCCACTAATGAACCCATTTGTACAAATTTGCTTCTTATAGTTGAACCTTTCACTGTTTAAGCAGAAAGCGAATGATTAATATAAATGACGTAAGTTACTGGGGACTTTTTAAATTATAAGACAGCAATACAACAGGATTCGGTGTGCAGACGGATTCTTGATCTACAAACTGTGAAGATACCCTCAAAGGCCCACCCGTGATCGCTATTACGTGTCATTGTTCAGTTGCCAACTAGCACGATGGATTATACTCAGTTGTAGGGCCTGAGAAGAATCCCTATACACTATACAGTAGGCTAGACATTATCCAGCCAATATCTCGAACAAAACCAATATTTCGGCCTCCAGTCCAGACATATTTATGTATTCGCGAATTTTAAAGCGCGTTGTGATGATAGAGTTTAAGGTTCCTTGGGAAACCAAGACCAAGAATTTCTTTCTTTATTGTTCTTTCAATAACTATGAAAGCTGGATATAAATACCTACCCATTTAAATGTTTTTGTATAAATAGAATAAATATATATTTTACATATCTTTTATGAATTCTACAATGTTTAAACGAAACATATTACGTTCTTTATCAAAATATCAACGGATAAGAATAATTATTTTTCGACATGTATTTTGGATCGTAAGTTTAAAAATCAACTCCTGGTTTTGTATTAAGTACCTATTATTTATGTTATTTAAAAATATATGCAGTAAAAAATAAAAAAAAAACACATTTATGTTTTAAAATACATATATACTTCTGCAAAATATAATAAACATTAGGAAGCAAAATTTCACAAAATACAATAAAATGTAACTTGCTTCGTTTTAAATATTTTAAAATAACTTAAAATACAATTGTGCAATTATCATAAACTATTTATTATTTTATATGAATTATCTTAGTAATTGGACAAACAGTGCCAAAATCAAAACAGATATAGAAGCAGCCAAGGAGGCAGATGTATTAGTGCTTCGAATATTTTCAAAAATTTCTACAGCGACGCTGTTACCCCAGCGTAAGTTGCGAAGAGCACTGTTTATGACTCCCACCCCAGCAGGGAAAGCTGCTCCTAATCCGACCTGTTCTCGGTATAGCCATGATTGGAACTGAAAAAAGAATAATTCAACTACTTATAATATATTTTTTAAATAATTGTTTCATAAGCGTGCTAAAAAATTATTATAAAGTAAAAGAGTAAAATTATAAATATATGTATATTTTTTTTCACTTACATTAACAATATCATTAAAATCAGTCAAATATGTTGCCAAAGCTTGTATAGCCGTGGACAATCTTGCTCGACCACCATATCTGGAATAATAGACAATTAATTAGACGAAATAAGACATTTAAATGCTATTATATGCTTATTTTCATTTATTTATTATTTTTGTATTTAATTAATAGCTTTAAAAATAATTTCTAATTTATGTAGCTGTAGGAGAACTTTTAATTAAAATCTAAATATATTATACAATTTTTCATACAACAATACCTTTGAGCAATGTTTCAAATTATAATTTGTTAGCATACATAATAATTTACAGAAATAAAAGTAAGATAATTGTGTACTCACTTTTCTTCTATTTCCCTGTAGTTACTATATAAGAATTCAAGGACTGTTCTAAGATTTTCTCTGTTTCCTTGAAGCGCATAACTAAATGCATTATTTTTATCGTGGACTCTTATTTTGTCATTATGTAATGTTTGATGCAAATATCTGCAAATTTTAAGGGTAACATAATATTATTACGATTTAAATATAATTTTATACAAATCATTATGGACTTCTTATGAAGTTGTTTATTGTACTGACGTTCTCAATGATGCCTGATGCTTTGTACAAGCGAGGGTCCGAAGCATGACAACCATATCGGAAGCGTGTTCTGAGTTATTATATCTGTTGAACAAAAATTCGAAGTCCTCTGCATTTCCTTCACGTAGACCAGTGCAATAGACATAACGGCGAGCATTCTTCGGTACCCTGAAATATGTAATATTCTTCATCAAAACATTTCTTCTTTAAATAATTTTATTTTTATACTATTTCAAAGCTTACATGTAACTAGCGTTCGTTCTAAACTGTCTCCATTTATTAAGACTGTCAGCAATACATCCTTCATGCCCAAGTTCGCACGCGTAGTCCATTATTTGCATTCTACTTTGAATATCAGAAGCTGTATCATTCGATCTTTCTTCGTAACCAAGTTGATCGATTGCTCCTTGCATTTGTGATAAAAGGTATTTCTGTAAAAAAAGTTCCATAGTCTTTAATGATTTCACACATTTAATAAGGATAAATATCGTCATGTACATACACTAAATTCTTCATGAGCTGCAGGTAAATGTTCCAATCTTCTTCGAATCCAATCAAGTTGAATAAGCGCCCTATTCCACGCATAGTAATCACTTTCATCTTTCATATAAGATAGAACATCAAATGCTCTCCTTATGCTGATTTTTCCAGCACGGACGAAAAATAGAACGTCATTGGTGATCTGAAAATGTTTTTTAACATTTTTAATATTTTCCCAATAAAGCCATTATTGTATATTAAAAGTTTCCTAAAAATTCTAAATACCTGTGCTCTATTTAGTCTATGTATGACATTTTTATTTCTTCGTAATTGTGACGCAATCATTTCCCAATTATGGTCATCATAGTTAACACGATAAAGCCCTGAATGTTGATTATTAAAGAGGACCCAATGATGACCAGCTTCTTTTTGGATGGTAGTTGATTTGGTTGTGAGCACCAGGCTAGGTTTGAGATTCTCGAAATTGGGGTTACCTCCATGAGTCCAAGTAAGTGGAATTTGCCAAATTGTATCACGTGGAGTACCAGTAAGTTGGAATCGCTCCTGTTTAAAATAAATTATTATAAGTACGTTATTGTTCTACTATAAAGTATTTTTTAAAACAATCTAAAATAATTTATTTGACCTGAGTTATATTTATGAGACCAGTTCTCATATTGACATCAACATTAATTACTGGAGATCCGGGATTTTGTACCCAGCTCTCAAATACTGCTCCGATATCTATATTTGGATAAGAGGTTTGAAAAGAAGAATCTTCTGCTACAGCTCTTCTGAATGCATTGTACATGTCGACTGGATATCCAATTCCATATAGACTAAAAAAAATTATTTTAGAAACTGTCACTTAGTAAGTAATATCACTACAAATAAGTATAATATGTATTGTGTAAAATGTAAAAAATTTATAAAGGGTATTAACGAAGCATTTACTTGTCTTTCAAGTAGTATCTCAAAGCATTTCTGAAGGTAACATAGCCAACAAAATGTTCCAACATTCTTAACACTGATGATCCCTTTGTGTAACTGCTTGTACCAAAATTTGCTGTAATTGTTGAGGTATTTGCGACTTCAGTCCAATTCATAGGAGTTATTGATGCCCCTGCGTCAGCTGTTAAAGCTCTTTGAACGTGTGCGGTAACAAAACGGTCAGCTATTTCTAAAGCTGGATGTGCCTGAAATAAATAGCACATTCATGTGAAATTAAAATATGACATCGCATAAAAAAATTATCACAATACTCAGCATGAAAATTACACCAATTACAATGAGACATTGTATACCAAGCTTCATAATAACAAAATTAAAACGAAACTTACTAGATGAGCACTGAAATACTCAAAGTAGCTCGCAAAAGATTCATTTAGCCAAAGATTACTCCACCAGAAGCAAGTTACCAAATTTCCAAACCACTTATGAGCCATTTCATGAGCGATTATTGATACAATAAATATCTGATCAATAACGTTTGTATGGTCTTCATGGTAGAGAAGATAAGCTTCTCTGAAAAATAAAATCAAAATACAAAGTTATCATTATCTAAAGCTAATTAAATAAAAAAAAAGTGAATCAAAAATTTTATTTACCTGTAATTTACCATTCCCCAATTTTCCATAGCGCCAGATGGGAAATCAGGTAGTGCGATATGATCATTTTTCATTAATTGCCCTTGACCCGTTCCATAGTAGTCAATGTCAAAGAACTCACTCATTTGATTCGTAATGTTCACTCCAACTTCAGCGGCATAGCGGTGCTGATCGACGGGGCCTTCACGAGATACGATTTGGAACGGCTTTTCTGCAGTACTTGTATAATTAGTAGCTACAAAGTCACTGACGTGAAAAGCGATGAGGTAAGCAGAGATAACTGGTGTAGGAAAGAAAGTTTCACGAACCCGATTTTGTAATCTGAAAGATATACATATATATATTTTTTAAGTATGTATGCATAAAACATGTTGTTATATTTATGAGTAATAATGATATAAAACATTGAACTGGTGGCACACAATTTACTGCTTCAACGTAGACTGACAACTGTCACAAACATTATTTATCTACCTACTATCTGAATTTGTTACAAACACTATATATGTATATCGAAATTTACTTACACTTGGGTTTGGTTGATAGCCATATTAGAAAAAGATGGCCTAAGATTTGAATCCCTGGTAATTGAAATTACGAAAGGGCATTTGAATTGAGGTTCGTCGAAACAGGGGAATGCTTTTCTCGCGTGATAAGGTTGGAATTGTGTTGTAGCATACTCCCTTAAAAGAATAACAAAATTTAATAAATAGCTTATTTTATGGTAAACTTTTAAATAACAGTTACAGTTGTTTACCGTTTTACATTTCCGTAGTAGTAGTAACCCTTATAAAATCCTCGATCGTGTGGATTTTCATTGATGCGGCCAAGATAGTTAATGGTTATAATATAATTACCCGGAGTAACTACATTTACAAAGTTGATATTTAATATTTCATAATATGAATCTGTATCAAAATCTTTAACTGCTACGGATCTCCCGCTTCCATCAATTACATTTATAGCACGGATAGACACAACATTTTGGTGCATCACAATTTGTGTGACATTTTGTTGAACCTGAAATTAATAATATATTATTTATTTCATATCATTATTTTTGTAAATTATCATAAATTCGATTTAGTGTTATTGTTTCCAGTTTCACAAAATATTTATTGATATTGTCTTCATCCAAAGGATTCTTGTTGAGGGACACACAAGGTGCCTTAGTTGCTATTTCAATCGAAAGCAATCAGATGACGACACATAACTCAATTAAGCTAAGCCTATATTGATATATGTATCACAGTTATATTCCCAGGAATTGCAGACTTTTATGTTGATTTAACCGTTTTCTAACGAAACGATTTAACTAAGAGATAAAATATATAACTAAGAGATAAAATAAAAATAAAGGAAATTGTCAAATCGTTGTTACATATTTATTTAGTTACATTTGAAATAACTTCAAGGATAAAGAACCCTCCGTACTATATTGTATTTCTATACAATTTTATTTCCAGCGTTAAAATTTATCGTATTATAAAAATGTTAAATAAACCGTAACATATCAGGTTTGATGAAATTACTGTTGTATTCAGGGATTTAAGGCACACTTTTTGTGATTAATAAAAGCTATTCAACAAAATAAATCTATAAAGATTTTTTATCTTGTTGACATAAGATAAAACTTGTCATAAATATATGACATACTGCCGGTCATATAAAATATATCGTAATCTATTGATAATTTGATATTATTTACAAAAGACGATCGTCGAGTCACCTTTGAATACAATTTGAAAGACCGCACGTTTAAAAATATTACCACATTACTAAAAATAGTTTTTTTTTGATTAATTTCCATTTTTTGGGTCCATTTAAATACAACTAGATGACCTGGCGGACTTCGTACCGCCCTATAATCAAGAAATATCTGTTACCTTTTTATCTCATTGAAGTTAATTTCTTAATTATGTACCTACAGCTGGCTCGACAGACAATGGTCTGTCTTCTTAACTGTGATTATTGAATTAATATAAATTAATACTATAATAGTATAAGTCTTTATTATTTCGATAATCTGTCCAGATCTCAACTAATAATATTCAAAAACAGTTTTAAAATGATATATATAAATATATTTATGTATTTCAAATCAAGGCCTGCATTTATTAAACTGCTAGCGCCATCTGTTATATTTTTGTGTGAGCTAATTATATGAAACTCCAATTTCTTTCGTTAGATGTCGCTAGAATATAATCCTTCATTTACACAAAATAAATTAATAAACACACGCGTAAACGTTAATTTTTGTGTGAGTTACCATTTGTTATTATTTTTGAACTCATGTCCACCATTTTATATAGTACATATTTGACAGGATGGACAACAAATGTTTGACAAATGACAGGTTCAACCCGGTTCGATCGATCCTGGGAACCCGGGTTCGATCCTTTACATGTTTTCGTCAAATTTTCTTTAAGGTTTCTTTTTTAGGATTTATTCTGCTATTCGGGGCTGAGACAAATCCAACGAACAAAAAACCATGAAAATTGGTCTAGCCGATCCCGAGTTAGGTGTTGTAACAAACACGACTTTCTTTTATATGCATAGATTATTTAAAAAATAGCATAATGTAACATGACAGCTGAATTTAATTTTAAATTAAGTTAAGATACCTATTAGTGAATATTGAATGTATATACCTTGCATATTTTTAACCTTATAATTAAGGTAAAAAAAATTATATTGTATACCTACTTTTAAATGAACTTTATAATTTTTCACAGTGGTACCACTTATTTCATCCGCGGTAAAAAATACACACAGCTTTATTTTTATCTTCATTGTACCATATATTACCTTGTATTTCAGTATTTTAGGTTTAGAAGTAAATAAAATAAAACTATAATCTTTGGCTCATTGTAATATTCCCGACGTTGAGATTACTTCATATTAATCTAGATCACGGGCAGATGATGATGTCATTGGTAAAATCTAATACATATTATAGTAAATCGCGTAATATATCCAAAAATCATACTTTTATTTAATTGTATACTTCAGAAAATTTCCATCAGTATGAGATTTAATAACTTTTTTATGTATACTGAAATGGTAAGTCCCTATTATCAATGACTGTTTATAAGTTTAGTGTATTTTTATTATTACGTACCTCCACATGAGCCTGGACTAAGCCATCGAATCTAGATTCTGCCAGATAAACATCAAGGTTTACGTAGAAGTAGGTCGGTCTCACGTTGTCTAGTAACCTGTATTTTGGGTCGTCAACGTTGGTCGAGTATTCCATAAATTCAAATTCTGAAGGCATATCGTCTGGTAGAGCATTTGCAATACCAAATAATAAAAGCCATAATGCCGTCTCCACTATTTTGGGACCTGTTTTAAATGATATTTATGAATAATGATTCTTTTAATAATATACAAAACTTGTTGCTTCTTGTACTTTTATTTTCACTTAAGTTTCCAACAGTTAAATCAACTAAATTATATACCATTCTCAATTTGTATTTTAAAAATAAACATATTCTTTTCTTGAAAGATTTTGTTACATAAATTCCTATATACATATTCCTTTATCCAAACGAAATATCCTATAGCATCAGCAGGGTTATCATATTTTAATAAATTAATGCAATAATAGGACTAACACAGAATTTTTATTTCGTTTATAATCAGTATTTAAACTTTTAATTAATTTATTCAAAGCAATTTTAACTCACCCATTTTGGTGACGGCGACAAGTGAACTAAAAATTAAATACAATATATTATAATCTATTTTCTGATATCACTCATACTTTAAGTATCATAAGGTATAATAATTTTTAAAAACATATCTGCAGTAATTGCTGATATTATTTTAGAAACCAGTTTGTAAGCCGATTAATCAAATTGATAATAGTTAATCTTACATATCAAATAAAAAAACATATGATAACATATTTCATTGACTTGGATTCCGTAATTTAAAAACTTTTTAAAAACCTTGGCAGTAACCAACAAGTGACGGTTATATCTAAAAGTATCTTATTAGTTATTCGATTCCATCACATACAGACAGAAATTTATTGACAACATAAGATTATATTTAACTAGATGAATTCTAATAAAAACTTCTCGTATAGACCTATTAAGCTAACTTTATTTATTTTTTGAAAATTATGATTAAATGCGACGATAATATTTATATGGTTTATTTGTAGAAAATATAAATTATCAAAAGATTTATTGATCGAAGGCACCAGACAAACTTTAAAATAATAGTAGCTAAATTAACTGGTAGTTCCCGCTAATGTTAGTGCCCGCCTCTAATACAAGATAGAAAAAATTGCTATCGCTAATAAAACCAAAGTCATTCGAGATATCTCCTTCTGTTAAGTAGGTAAAAAATATATATGTTTATAATATTAAAAGATGTCTGAAGATAATATTTTATCAATTCAATTAAAACACATCTATTGTTCTAGTTATATATCACGTGTAATTGGAGACAATGTGATTCTGTTCATAATAATTTCCCGTTATCCTAATCCTATGCTATCTAATTATAAAAATCGTTAAGTAATAAAAAGCAATACTCCTCTTTTAACATATTTTTTAAGGTACGGTTCCTTTACAGCAATTGTGATCACCCCCGATGAGATGAAAGTGACTAGAACCGAAACGTCATTATTATGTAGTTCATTTAATAATACAAAATGGTATAATTTGAAAACCTTAGTTTTATTTAAATAATTACACGCGAAAATCTTAGATATCATTACGATTGAATATTATTTAACTGTCAAGCTTTGTTACTGCTTCTAATATGTTCTTGTGGATTACGTTTTTCAAATCACTGAGGTCGTTGAATTGGTTCAAGTCCCCGTTGTTTTTTATATTACTAAGTAAGTTATGATAAATAATAGGAACGTTTCCTGAACACTTTATAAATTTGGGAAGGTTTAATTTTCATACAAAGGTAATGTAGAAATAAAATTATTTATTAATTATCAATCGCGAATCATAATATAAAAATATCTTAATGACATGCTTTGATAAATAGAACGCCGACTAACTTTTTACAACATACTATTAAGTAATATTTCAAAGAAATAGGTATATTAAATAACATATTAAGATATGCTCAAACTACTAAAAATCTGTCCCACATAAAAATATTCATTTTAAATATTATTAAGGAATACTTATTAAGTTATTACTGACAAAAATATGAAATAGAAATGAGTGAATCTAAAATAAAAATTGCTAACTATGTTAGTTAAACTTTATACCTAATTAAAAAGATAAAAATATTATATTGAAGATATGCTACGTCTATACTTAAGTAATTAGGTAATTAATTTCAAGATTAAATTACAAGCTTTGTTTAAGTACAACAGATTTGAAATAAGAGTAGTCAAAGTGTCCAGTTCTACTAAGTGAAAGCATTGAATTTATTAAAAAAAATATTGCTACTTAGGTCAAGCTAGTTTATAATAATTAATAAGTTTGACAACTAAGTAAATTAATCCTCTAGCCTTCCAATCTAGAGAAACCGATAAATCGAAACTTTTCAGAATTTCATGGAGTCACTCTGCTGATTCGGAGTTCATCGCGTTGCAGGTAGAGGTGCTTCAACAGTGCCTAGGACTTGCAATCTAGGTATACGTTTAAGGGGCCCCTATCTAAACTCTCGCCTCTATTGTCTAATCTCCTCTCTCTCTACCTAAACAAATTCGAAACGAACAGACGAGGGCTAAATTCGTAGTACGTTTTAATACTAACGAATTGATGGTATTTCTAAATAGGCCCAGGATTTTTTGTAAATTGTAGAGAGATTTTGCTGTTATGTCTCTTTCTCCCACTTCTACCGTATACAAATTTACGATTAATTGATTCTTAGTAGAGTAGGACGCCCCCCAGCTAGGTGGACCGATGACCTTAAAAAGGTCGCTGGGTCTCACTGGATGCGGAAGGCAAAGGACCGAGTGTTATGGCGCGTGTTGGGAGAGGCCTACGTCCAGCAGTGGACTGCTATAGGCTAAGTGATGATGATGATGATTCTTAGTGAGTTCGTTAGTGAACTAGTATTTGTCATGCCAAGCACAAACATCGTATGGGATTCTACCTATATTATTTCTCGTTTAGATTTTTTCTTTTGTATTCTAACTACCGAAAGATTAATCGCTTCACGTATGCGATCTAAACTATTACGACCCCTAAATAAAACTGATGAATCAACTGATATCAATATCAATACAGAACCACAACTCCAACACCCTCATGACGCTTGCATCTAACTTTGACAAAAGTATTATAATCAAGGACGAGAAAAGTCCAATTCAGACGTGATATTAGGTTAGTATCGTAGAACCTCTAACAGATTTGTTGGTTATCTTCCTTTTTGAGATCGTTTAGAAAACCTTCTTCTTTTGCTTCTAAGGATGAAGAATTTATCGTATGTGTAGATACGAATTGAGACACAAACAGAGACATTTATTTTGTATGCGTCAATCTTCAACAAATAGATGAAAAACTTCGTCGTAATTATTTAACCTTATCTATTTTAAGAGAGAATAGAGTTATAAAAATATGACACTGTAATATATGTAAAAGTATTCACTATCCATATTCAAGAAAACTTCAAATCTAATCTGATTTTTTTTTTGTTTTTATTAGGTATCGATGTGTAAGGAAAGTTTTATTTCAAACACTAAGTTTTCAACGAGATTGTAAAGTATAAAATATGAAAAGACTCTAAAAATTTTATTACTGAACATTTTTGTAACTTTAACGCCTTGAACTAGTTAAATATTGTCACTTTATTTTAATCTAATTTGGAATAAATAAAATAAACACATCTCTTAATACCATTTTAATAAATAATATAAGTAAAATAAATGACTTATCTATATTACATTTGATGATATTCTATTCTTTTTGACATGATTAATTAAATGTTGAGGCTGATTGCAACTGTCGCTAATAAGGTAGCAATACTCAAAGTTGCAATATTAGCCGAGTCGTTGTCGTTGTCATCATCAATTTTATCTTCAATGTAACCAGTGTCGAAGTATCGAGAAAATTCGGATACACGTCTACTAGACCACGCCATGTTAGATCTGGTAGTAGCAATGTTAGAAATACCTGTATTATAAGCGCTTCCGAGAATTCCTCTGTTCGCTTCTAACCAAGATAACAGCTGAAAAATTTACATTATATACATTTTATAAGTTCTTTGGTGTATAGCTAGTAAAACATAATTTTATTTTGAATTAAATATAAGTAAATTACCTCGGAAATTTCATTTTCATTTCTTAATCGACTTGCGATATTGCTGATTGGAGTTTGTAAGGAAATATTTCTGGAAAATATAAATTACCGTTAAAATAATTCGACACAAATTTATGAAATTGATGTTACAAAAATATTGAAATAATATTTTCTATGTAAAAAATACCTTTCAATGAAAAGGTTAACATTGCGTTTCAGCCAACTAAGCACCCTAATGGGGTTGGCATCATTTCCAGTCACTGCAGAACTCCAAGCCGCGGAATTATCTTGAGGCCTTATAATCTCTGCGCTATTATTCACAGTAATAATGGCGTCCAAGAATTTTTCAAGGCTTCCAACATCGTTAGTACATCCAGCTGCTCCAATCATGACAACTATGTTATTGGCCAGATCCTCGTTAAGGAACTCGTTCCAGAAAAAGTCAAAGTCAGAAGCATTCCCTTGTCGCAGCCCACTACAATATACCCATTGTCGCATGTTTGCTGGAATACTGTAAACGTCGTTTAAGTTAAATGACAATATACCGTTTTTTATCTTTTCTATTTCTAAGAACGATTTTTTGAATCTAAAAAGGATAGAATATAAACTGTTTTAAAGTACTTTCTAATAAAGCAATACGTACAATCCACCATTTCTCCAGTTTGCAAAGCTTACTCTAGCCGCTTCTAAACAGTCAGGATGTCCAACATTACAAAGGAAGGTATTAACATGCATGCGTAATAGACCATCCATAAAAGATTCTCCATTTCTTTCGACGTGTCCAAGACGGCGAGTTATTGCAGCACTTTGTTTAATTGCCAAAGTCTAATATAAAGATGATAAGAAATTAGTGAGTGGTGATTATTATAAAAAGTGATAGATCGCATTTTATTATTCATTCCCAATCTCACTCGTGTATTTTTTGTTTATATATGTTGATATAGAGCTATTACTCTGAATTACTTACATGAAGCCTTTGCATATTAGTAGTATCATATATAAGTCTATTCCTGGCGAAATTAAAGCCTGCGATTGCTGCTATCCAAGGTGCATAAGAATCTTCAAACTCTAAGAACGAGAGTATATTAAAAGCTCTAGTGTATGTCATAACCCCAGCTCTTGCTAATTGGAATAAATCATCCACAATCTAAATTGTAATAAAATAGATTATATTATAACGAATAAAATGTATATTAGATGTCATTCTTTAAATAAAATTTGGTAAATATACAGCAAAGAACTTTATCAATTTATATCATTCATATACTAAATTATATTAAAAATTCTAGTGACATACTTATTACATATAGTAAGGAGATTGATGTAGTAAAATAAATACCTGTGCGCGATTTAATTCATGTATAACGGTCCTATTTGAACTTCTCAGAGCTCTTGTTAACAAGGCCCAATTATTGTCATCATAATTTACCCTGTAGAATCCTAAAAAGATTTCCAAACATAAATATCTGAAGAATACTAAAATATTGAAGAAATAAATTTTTTATGTGTCCTTAATACTCTACCTGATTCCTGTTTATTAAATATAACCCATTCGAGCCCCCGTGTTCCTCGTTCAATATTGGTTACATCAGTTGTTATCACTTGAGACGGTTTCAGATTGTTAAAGTCTGGAGCGCCTGCTCTGGTCCACGTTATTGGTACTTCCCATATGCTTGTGAAATTTGAAACACCAGTATTGCGTTCCCAGCGAGCCTAAACGTAAATAAAATTATAGACATTGTAACATATTGGAGCATACCTATTAACAATGAATACTGGATAGCGAATATCCTTTCCAGTGGTATTATGTATATGTATAGTATAGATTTCTTATTTCCTTTAAAAAAAACTAAGCGCCTAATGTAAGCTCTTCAACAAGAAATGTTCCTTACTTGGTTTTAATGAAGTATTTAAACTTTGAATTTACACATGTTAGTATAGACCCATTCCAAGTAAAATAAAATTTACCTGTCTAACAGTCATTAGTCCAGAAGTCTGATTAATGTTAACAGTGAGAAGTGGATGTCCAGCTTTCTCAGCCCATGATCGGAAATATGAGTTAATAGTGATTCCACCATATGCTGACAAAGCACCATCTTCACGTGCAGCTTCGTCCAGAGCATTAAATAAATGTTGTGGTTCCGCTACATCAAATTGCCTATAAATAACGATAAATAAAATAGTTATCCAAATTTCTTGCATTTCTTTTACTAAAAAACAACTATTTTGATGTTAATTTACATTTCTGTTCATACCTAGCCCTAAGGTATTTTCGGAGACCTTTTAAATATGTAGTTTCCCCTAAGAAGTGCTGCGTCATTCTTAATACAGAAGCGCCTCTAGCATAAGTTATAGTGGAAAAATGGTTAGACACACTTGTAGGATCATTTACATTGGGGTTGATTAAAGCATGCGCAGAATCAATAGAATCCGAAATCATAGCAGTCTGGAGTTGTTCCACAATAAAGCGAATATCAAATCCGAGATCTTTATCAACCTAAAATATTTTAATTTCATTATAATTAATTAATAAATGGTCTGTAAAATGTCTATGAATGGTCTATGTATGATAGTAATTAAAATTAGAAACATACATATGTAACAAGTATAAGGTATAAATTTTTAGTGACCTACCGAATGTGTTAGATAGTATTGGTAAAATCTTGCAAATCCTTCATTTAGCCATAAATTGTCCCACCAAGCACAAGTTACAAGATTTCCGAACCACATGTGGGCAACTTCGTGAGATACAATATTAGCAACACGCTGTTTATAGAAGTTATTAGTATTTTGAGGATCAAACAAAATAAGTGCCTCTCTGAAAGTAATTTCGAGATAATATATAAAAATTCAAATAAAACGATGCAATTTAATTAAAACTAACAAATAGAAATACCTGTAGGTTAACAATCCCCAGTTTTCCATGGCACCTGCAGAAAAATCAGGAATAGCGGCCTGTTGCATAGTAATATTTCTTGCCATAGTGTAATATGGTATTTGAGTATAGTTTTCCATAGCCTCTAGAAGTTTTTCTCCCATTACTAGTGAATAGTTCCCAGTAATACCTGCATTATTCCGTGCATAAATATGAAATGGTCTATTAGGGCTACCATTTGATTCGACGCGATCGTAATGGGATACAATAAATGCTACCAAATAAGTGGAAGTTAAAGGCGTTGTGAAGAATGTCTCTGAGACTCGTCCAGGAACAGATATTCTAAAATATTTTTAAACTTAAGATTTTTATTGTTAGAACATACATATATGTAATAAAAACATTTTATCCGCACTCACGTTGAAGTCGATTTTATTGGCATATTTGAAATACTTGGACTGAAACTTGGTTCTCTATGAATAGTTATATCAAAGTATGCTTTAAAAGAGGGTTCATCATAGCAAGGGAAAGCTTGACGAGCGTGGCCAGGCTGGAATTGCGTTGTACCCATCCACCTTAAAATATAATGTTATTAAAACGATTGAATTAAATATGGAAAATAGTTCTTCATGTATTTAATAATACAAACAGGTATAAACTTACTTAAAACCAGTAGAATCCCTGTACCAGCTTCGGTAAAAACCTCGCATGTTTGTTTGGAAGAAACCCCTGTAGTTTATATTTATTACGTATTCTTGGCCCATTTGAAGAGGTTCACTAGTACCAATTCTTAGAAAAGCATATGGCATTTCACAAGTAAAATTTGAATTGGTCAAATTCATAGCAGTATTATTCAACGATACTGTTACGGTATTTATGACTAAACTATTACAATGCATAACTATTTCTCGAACTCCAGATTGTGTGGCTTGTATCCAAATTGATACTTGACCATCGAAAGAAAATGGTGGAATATTAGGTGTTGGAATAACATCGAAATAAGGAGTCAAACTTATTTCATATCTCGATGGCCTTGTAGTGTTTGGTAAGCGGTAAGCAGGGCTCCGCAGGCTTCTGGAAAATTCCTCCCATTCATCTTCGGCAACTGGTATTGGGCTTAGAGCCAGTAAACCCTGGACAAATATTAGCCCAAATACAAGGGATAACCAGCGGTTTTCCTAGAAATATATATTAAAATTTAATAGCTGAAGTTTGAAATATTTTCATTAAGTATTTTTGACATATGATAGTTTTATTTTTTCTGCTTCAGTACTTCTATCATCTTTTTAAATAGCAGGAGTAATTACTTTAAACAAGATTATTACTATTATCAGATTAAATTGATACGTGACAAAATTTTCATACTAATCATTCAAAATATTGTTTTGCAATGTTATCTGAGATAAGAATGCTAAGGATATTCGATTAATGAATATGGATAATAACATCAGTTTCGTACCCGATGGCACGTTCTTGATTTGAAATCAGTCTTTTTAAAAACCTTTCTTGTTTCAGCGATATTTAACTTGTCTTTAATTTTAAATCTTTAATAACTTTGGAAATATACAACCAGAAGAATTCACCTCAGAGTAGTTCTTTACTTTTTTAATAATAATTCGTATGAGTGCATATAATCTTGTGTGAAATTTGTTCGATATACGCATCTATATGTAAATTGGCATTTTATATACATATAATATCTTCTTCTACCTGGCAATTTCCCAGCTACAGCCAGGGTCTGCCTTACATGTTGTGAATAGTTTTTGGCTAATTGTTTTTACGACCGGCCTGCCTGCCTGACATCAACCCTCTTTTGGGAATCAACATTAATCAGTGATGTCTAAATACTATTAGAAAGTACATATGATTCGGAAAAATCACATTGGTACTTGCCCGGGTCAGGATCGAACCCGCGCCCTCGGTGACGAGAGGCGGGCCCTTTAACCACTGAGCCACCACTGACTCATACATATAATATATATATATATATATAACTGACATTGACGCTTTTGAATAATCTATCGTTTCTACTACGTATATCATATATAAGTAATATTACATTGGTTTAAGATATTTATTCCCATTAAGACATTATTATTACTTACATGAGAATTACACTTATAACAAAAACATTTATGAATAGACAGTTCGACATCGCACTTGTAACAGAAATGAAATGAAATAACGCTTAACTCAGAGACATTTTTCTATATTAGGTACTAATTTCACGTATTGTATTAGTTTTAATTATTTATTATTTAAAATATACTCAGCAAGTTCTTTTTTAAATACGTTAAATGAGTTTACATTTTTTATATCTGGGGGTAGTTTATTATACATGCCAAAGCACCTTCAAAGGTGATCATTGTTTCGCCGTAATTTGTACGATCCTGTATCCTGGGTAGAACAAGTAAACTAGCTCATCGTGTGTTACGATTGAGGTTTGACACTTGCTTCTTGAGCGTTATATTAGTATGGATATTCATATTTAATGTTTTTCGAATAAAATTGCAAACGTTATATACATAAAGATTATTTATGTTCGTTTTTCCTGTTTCATCGTATACTTTTTTATAGATATACATTGTATATACAATTCAATTTTTCTACCCAAATGCATCAAATAAGGATTATATTTCTAATTTATAATCTTTTTATATTAAGTAATAAGAGTAAATGATTATTATTTCTCAAAATAAATTTCTTCGGAGAAGACTAAGAAGACTAATAACGTAGAAGGAAAAAAGGCAAGAAAACTTTGTACAACTATTGTTAATAAGTAAAATAAATACTGGCAATAGTTCTTTAATTTACTCATAATACTTTTATCGATACTTATAAAGCGATTATATCTAATTATGAATTTGAAAGAACATAGGGTCTTTCTTTCTGTAAACCCTTTTACAGATGATAATATATTTTGAAATGTTTGTGTACGTAGGTTTATATAAAAATATAATTTTCTTAACAAAACAGTCGACTTACCATTTTCGCTGGTTTCGGTGTGTGTGTATTAAAGTAATGGGTACTTAAAAATATCATCAGGATTTTATCTTATCTTTATTAAATTACATGAGCTTGTTGCCCGTGTCAAGAATTATACTTTATATGTACACATATAAATAAATAAATATATACATATATATAATCTGTCCAGAAATCCCCTATACTCTGTTCGAAAAAGTTATAAATGCTACCTCTGCAAAAAATATAGAAGCATATGCAACATAAAATAAAATAAAAAATATCATAATATAAAAGAATAATAATAATAATACATATTTGATATTTTTACATGCCATAGCACTCAGAAATCATCGTGGTTTTGTGCCAATTGAAATAAATCAAGGATGGCCCAATGAAGATAATATTATTCCCTCTTAAACTTGTCGCCACATTGAAGTGCTTATATTAAATTAATTAAAATAACTAAATCCGTAACACCCAACTATTTAAATTACTTTTTTATATACATTGATAAATCTAGGACTTTTATTTTTTACAAATACTTTTATCTTATTATATTCTTCTTATTTATTTTTTAAATTTATTATGCTACCTACAGCAAATTTTTCCAACAATATTTTTCTATCATTTTCTCTGATAAAATACTCATTTGTCTATAAGACCGCGTTTGTTTAATATTTTTTATACATTGTTTATTTTCACTTCTCGTTGTTTTTTTTTTCTATATTTTGGTGAAAGTTGCTCACTAGTAGCCATCGAAGAGAGCTAATGTAGATTTCTATCGAAAATAACAATGACGTAAGTTTAAAAAAGATTATAAGAGCTAGGTAGGAATTGTATATTTTCATAAAATATTTTCTCTTCCTATTGCAATATGTTAAAGAAAAAAAGTTTACCCGTCTGCCCGTGATCATGGTTGCGGAAAAGTAGCCAAAACGTTGGGAGTATGAGTTTTTTACATAAATAGCACGCGTAGTATATCCGAAAATATTATTAGTTTCATTTAAATGAATAAAACTAGCGAAAGTCTTAAATTATACGAATCCAGTATTGCAATTTCACTAACCATTGTATTGGACAGGCTTACATCGAGTAGATCGCACATCAGTTACATTGCGTGTAATTTTAATCATCAAAAGTATTTACTTTTTGGTTTTTGCTTCTGATTGTTACTAAGGTTACGTACAACAAAGAATATTATAATAATGAAACGTATTATATACTATGCTAAGTATTATATCTTAATCATATTGTCTAGACCTCATTGTTATTTTAATCTTAATTAGATATTTTTTAGAATGTCCTTTTATTTTATCATACAATTAAACAATATAATGTAGCTCATTACTGTTTTGATACCATAAAAATTTTAGATTGTCATTGAAAGATTTGATATTGAGACATTATTATATAAGACAACTTTTGTTTCATATACCTTAAGCGTAACATATAACGTTTAAAATTAAATCAACGTTAAATTGAGACTTTTCCAACCAATAATCATTATATATAAATATACTGAAGTATCTGAATTAAAGAATGTTACGTAATAACACCACAACTATGCAAGAATTTGCACAAATAATATATTCAATAAATGTTTTCTCCCTTGACTTACAAGATAAAAATCACTTAGAAGTGATTAAGTGACGAAACATATACATACTTTTATCGAAATAATGTTACTTTTTGTAAAAGTAACAACATTTTATTTTTCCATTCCCTTCAAACTGTTTTGTTTAAAATCATAAAAAATTGTAGGTATAACCAAAAATATAAATTTTATTTAAATGAATACTCGAAAAGGTCTTCGATATCATGAAATGTTTTGTTATTTTGTATATCTTTTCAGTGTCCTCAAGAAGAAAAGCTGTGCCAATTATTTATTATTTGTTTCGTATTTTTCCAAAGGTAATGATCATCTGTTGAGGCCACAGTTTGGAGACTAGATATTTACCGTGTAGATGTCTAATAGACACGTTATAAACGTTCCAGGAAAGTGCCTGGGACTTGCAACCCAGGTTTAGGTTTGAGAGGTCCCTATTCAACGTTCGTTAAACGTCTGTCAAAATTATCGCCATATTGTGCGGTTTGATATTCCTCGAGTTAGTTTTAGAATTGCTTTTCAAGCCCTAACCAGTTGATGACTAAGATGATTGTAGCCCAAGGCTTTGGCAACACGTACATTTTTTATTGTTTCCTATATTTTCCTCCTCATTTTTATCTTGAAAGAATTTTCTTTGTTCTTGCGTGCATAACGGTTTTGAAATGGATATTTTTCAATAAATTAGTCGTTAACAATATCTTGAAAGGTTTCTACTTGCGAATGTAATTTTTGATGCAAGCCCAGATGCACTAATAGAACCGCGAAATTATCATCGTGAACTTTTCAAAACAGTTGATTTATGTTTGGAATGCTAAGATGTGTAAGGATATCAATGGACTTCTGGTAGTCTCCACTTAATGGTTTTACATGGGAAACATGAGGGTCACCTCTTTCTCAAATTAAAGTCTAAAAACTGACTGATGATTGTCGTACTTCAACACCATTATGTGTTTTAAACTGTTTGATCTATCTATCTATCAGGCTTGTCTCTTAAAATCTTCTAACATTTAGGGAATTTCTAGTCCATATTCGATCCGTTTTCAGTATTTATATCCACTGGTACGCAGATATTTATAAAATTAAATTAAAGATTTGATAAATGTCACATTTTACTTTTTAAAATCACTAAAGTTATCTAAGTAGAGTGGCGAATGTGTATGTCAGGAAAATTAAAAGATTATATGATTCATGGATATTTCTTTTTATATTATCATTAAATAATTTTTATTACAATCGTCAACTATCCATCATATTTGATTCCATTTACGTAAGTTAAGTTTATCGTATTTTATGTATAAGATAACCTGCCCTATAAATGGCGATTAGAACGAGCCAATAAAATACAATTATTAATAAAACAATTTAATACATTTAATCTCACTCCCTTAAGCCTATTGATAAATAAGAAGACATTTTATTTAAATAATAAAAGAAAATGTTGTCTTAATAATAATGAAGTAAATATAACATTTATTTGACACTACTGAATTGTAATATTTGGGTCCTTAGCCACAAATTATATTTTGAAGTATGTAAATATATATTACATAAGTCTTTTGATAAATAAAAACTCCGAGACATTATGTATTGTTGCACTGATTTAATTTTCTGTTAGTAATACAATGATAAAAATCTCTTAGCGAATAAATAAAGATCTGTTTATTGAAAGAAACAAAAATCTATTACAATTATTGAAACTTATTTCTGGTTTTTTACTTTATTTACTATCAGTATGGACTGCATGTATAATTAAAAATATGGGATAATGTAATTGCTTGAATATATACATAACTAACTATATATACATATATAGCTAGGTAGTATATTACAAACTTAAACATTTATTAACTTTCACACACTCACCATTATATGAGAAAAATTTTCAAGTCTAGTATTAATTCTTATAAATAGATTTAAAATAATTAACCAAGGTTAGAGACTTTAAATGAAAGATTTTATGTATAAATTGTAAAATATATTTTCTTTACTTTTTCATTAATACAGATGGCATGGATACAGTTTGATATGTACTTGTTTTGTTATAAATATTTAAAACTCTAATAATTATCGGTAAATCTTATCAGACCAAAGGGTCGTGTGCACATAAAGGAACTTGTTTCAAAACAGTTATAAAGATTAATTTTATTTTTATGACTATTATAAATATTATTATATGATACACTTATGTAAAGTAATGTACTAATGTTGTAATGATGACAAGTGATAATGATATCATAGTTGTAACGGAGGAATCTGGTAGATTGGGTGACTCCGGTTCAACCAAAGGTGGGGGAGTAATTGTTGATATTTGTGGTGTCGATGGTGGTGCAAATGTTGTCGTGGTAATTTCTATATCACCTTCATCAAGATACTGACCAATATCGTCTTGAACTTCTACAGCCCAATCTAAACTGCTTTGGGTAGTCTGAGCCTGGTTTACAACAGCATTGTAATACTGTCCCAGTGTATTGTTATTTTGTGTAGCCCAACTTATAAACTGTAAAAAAATAACATTATTTCGTTTAACGTTCCATCACACAAATAAAAAAATGTTATTTCTTAATATTCCTATTCTATTAAACAATCATATAATGTTATACTTACAGCATTGATTTCTTGTGCCGATCTTAATCTTGAAGCTATATTGGAAATCGGACTTGCAGATTCGAATCTTTAAACAAATAAATATTTAATTTTCATCATTAACAGTTATAAATAAATTATATGAGATATATTATTTAACGACATATACGGACCAAGTGTTAAAAAAGATTTTTTAACAATTGCAAAAAAAACATATGTTATTTATACTTTGACTTTACTTACGCTGTCAGTACTTGGGTGAGGTTTCTTTGGATAAAGCGGAAGGCTATTTGTACGTTTTCATATTCTCCATTGAATATGGTGTTGAAAGCAGTTGTATAATCTTGTTTTCGGATAACAAAATTCTCTTCAACGATATTATTTATCAACCTACAACAAAATTACAACTGTTATTGCATTCTTATTCATTACTTAGGCTTCAATCATTAAATGTTGATTGCATAAAATTATTATATGTGTTATGATTTTTATAAATTTATGTCATATAAACCAGTTTTCTATGAGAATATTTTTTATATACTAACCCATTATGGAGTGAGATAGTCAAGTTATGAACCATTGAAATTTTTTCTTAGAGCCTTAGCCCAAACAGTGTAGTTAGCAAATACTTAATACTTACGTATTCAAGGATTCTTCGTTATTTGTACATCCTAAGGTCATAAGGAGTAAAATTTTTTCCGTATAGACATTGTGAGTATTAAAACGTTGCCAGAGATAATCAAAGTCTGCCTTAGAACCACGCCTTAGTGCATGGCAATACACCCAGTTTCTACTGTTAACTGGGACTCTGGAAATTACAGGCTATATTAAACCCTAAATCGTTAGATATACAGTATAATTTGGTTAAAACTGTATATGAAAATCACGTTTATTACCAATGGACTATTATAAAATTAAAGGCTTATTCTATAATAACGCACTTATACACAATTGAAACTTAAAAATACGTACTCCGTTCGATTGTTAACTAATGCACGAAATTGTGTTTCAGCAGCGTTAAGGCACTCTTGAACATTCATGCTGCACATGAATGGTGCAAGCTGGTATCGTAAGTATGAAGTCATGAAAGTGTCATTTTGTTGGGGATAGTATGTAAGTTGATTCATGGCCGTTGATGCCCATTTTGCTATAAGGCCCTTTTAAATAAAAAAAAAAATATTCTCAATTATGTGGCTATCGGCTAAGAAAAGTTTAAACAGTACTTGAATATAGCCAAATTTGATTATTATTATATCCATTACAATTTATTAAAAGGAATATCTAATAATAAGCTACCTCGAGTGGAGCTGAATAATTGGTACCAGCGAATCTATTCCTAATCCAGTTAAAGCCAGTAATTGCAGCAACCCAAGGAGTATATGCAGTTTCATTTTCCAGGAATGACAGAATGTTGAAAGCTTTATTATAGGGCATTAGGCCAGACCTTGCGAATTGAAACACATCGTTCACAATCTGAAAAATATATTATCTTGTTTTTAATATTTTTTGGACAACGTCCTAATAATTATAAAATGCATTTATATTATACTTGTGCCCTGTTATATTCATGAATCAACGTTCTGTTTGGACTGCGGAGGGCAGCAGTTATGAGGTCCCAAGTGTAATCATCATAGTTGACTCTGTAAAATCCTAAAAACAAATACCATATTTACTGATTAAAACGTCACAGCGACAGAAACATGAATCCATTATTATATACCTGTCTGCTGTTTGTTGAAGATGACCCAGTGGTTTCCTACGCTACCCCGATTAATTACGACAACACCATCCTTCATTATGTGACTCGGTTTTAAGTTATCAAAATCTATATTGTCAGCACTTGTGAATGTGAGCGGTATAACATACTGCTTGTTATTGCGGGATAAACCAGTATTTATGCTAAAACGACGCTGCAATGATACATTTATTTAGAATTACTTAAAATGCTATTGAAGTTTTCTGTTTATAATATAATGAGTTTAAAACACAGGCCCATAGAATACTTTGAAGGAATTGATAAAAAATAACAATGTGGTCGACAAGGCTAATTTTGGTTTCCAGCAACTCCAATCTGAATACCATCTTTTTTTTTAATAAAGTGTTCAATAACATAGAAAATAAATTGTTATTTTATTCACTTTCTTTACCTGTGTAATCACCATATCTCCGGTTTGATGGTTAACTTGCACATTTACTATCGGGTGCCCAGCCTGTTCGGTCCAACTTTTAAAATATTCAATAAACGAGAAGTCTCTGTACTGTGAAATTGCGCCAGTGGACAAACTCACGTTTTGCAGTGCTTCGAAAAGATCAATTGGTCGCGCGGTTTTATATGCGCTAAAGAACAATGAAACAAAATATTTTTTATTAAAAAGTACCTTTGTCATTTTAAAGGTGAAGCAATCATTGGAATTCAAATAACTAGGTTAAAACTGCAACCAATTGCAACAAAAAATCCCAAAACAAAATTTTATTGAACACACAACTTACTTATCAACCAAATATTTCCTTAAGCCCATTTCGAATATTTGTGAACCAAGAAGGTGTTCAGTCATGCGTATTACAGATGCGCCTTTATTGTAAGTTATAGTACTAAACATATTGCTTATTGAACTCGGACTACCAATGTTTGGATTAGTCAATGCATGGGCGGAGTCAGACGAATCAGCTAGTAGCGATGTGTGAAGTTGCTCGTTAATAAAACGAGAATCCAAACCCATATAGCCCTCAACCTAGAATTTTAGTAAATTTAGTTGCGTACATAATTGCGTACGTAATTTTAGTAAATTTAGTTGCCTGCGTTTGTTTTATTCAATAAAAGTAAATATTCAAACATTTTTTTTTTTTCAAATAAACTGCTCTTCATAAATTGATCATTTAAAAAAAATATAATATAGAAGTTAAATATATAATTTTTATCCACATTTTTATATTTGAAAAAAAAATCAACTTTACTTCAATTATTAATTTTTAATATTAATAAAATCATAATTTTTCATTCCCTTCGATATAATTACTACGTACATATATATGCACCATACTTACCCAATGTGTCAAAAAGTATTGGTAGTACCTCGCGAAACCTTCGTTTAACCATGTATTGTCCCAAAAGTCACAGGTAACCCAGTTACCGAACCACATGTGAGCTATCTCATGGGACAGGATATAGGCTATTAGTTGTTTAAAATAATCATTTGTATGCTCTCCGTCATACATTAAGTACGCTTCCCTAAAAAGAAATCTTTTGTTTGAAACATAATACTAGGATTGGTTAGTCATAATATTAGCTGTATTAATCTTAATTCATAAATAAAGGCACTAGTTCACGCAGTGGTGCCATATAGTTGGTAACCAACCTGTACGTAATAAGTCCGAAGTTTTCCATAGCACCAGCACCGAAATCAGGAATAGCAGCATGTGTCATTTTTAGATTCTCATGCAAACTGAAGTAATCTTTGCCCACATGAATACCCATGACTTCAGTTAGATTCTGTCCTAGGTTAAGAGCATAGTTGCCTTGATTTCTAAGAACTGATCTTCTCGCAATAACCTCGTAATGGAATTGCTCACTCGCATTGCTAGGTAAAGTTATACTGTCATAATCAGCAACGATTAAAGCAAGGAGATACGTGGACATCACTGGTGTCTTACTATAAATGTCATTTTGGTAACCTCTAAAATAAAAATATAACCAAACTTCAGAAACAAATCTCATGGTTGTATATTAAAAGTATAAAATTATTATTATTTATTTGTGCTAAACACTTTATAAACTGTTTAAAATATTCTAAAATATTACGACTAAATACTCACGCTATAGTTGCATTCTCCGTGTACAATCTACGTGTAAGTGACCAACTTTTTAGTTCAGTTGGACGTCTGATAGTTATGTTGAATGTTGCTTTAAAACTGGGTTCGTCATAGCAAGGAAATGCCTTTCGAGCTGAAGTTGGTTGGAACTGAGTTGTAGCCATCCACCTAAATATAATTGTATAAAATTTAACGTTCAACTAATGTATTCAACCTATTTTTAGTCTAACCTATTTTTAGTCTAACACTAACACTAACAAATACCAAAGAGATTGTGATATACATGAGACAATTTTTCTGTTTTTTTAAATAATAATCTATTTAACTTTGATTTTAATTAAATATTTTGGCTTTTGTGCTGTAACTAAAAAGCCGTTAAATTAGTATCATAGAATTGGCTAGTTATAATATTCGTTTAAAGAAATGTAGTTTTCTATAAGTTACATATAATTTACTGTATTTATTTACATTTTAGAAAAATCATGTTTTTATTAACTTTTTTAAATTAAGAATTTTAAAATAATTAGTTATTTCTTTTTTCTTAAACGCAATTTTAACATTTGTATTTTTGTTCTGCTCTAAAGTTTGCTAGTAAATAAAAAAAAAATTAACAAGTCTATGTCATTTAGCATTTAACTTATTAAGACCAAAAATTTAATTTAAAAATAAGAGTCATTGCTATGACTTACTTTTCTTGTTCTCCAGGGTTTCTGTACCAACTCTCATATATGCCATACATATCTTTTCTTAGACTTGCACTAAAGCCAACGCTAAGTACGTATATGACCGGGTTAGATGCATTGTATTGCATAGAACTATTTGGCAGAATGATTCTCATAAACTCTGCATCAGGTTGTAAGCTATATTGCTGTGGTATTATTGCATTATTATGTTTCAATTCCACAAAGGAATAATTCATTTCATGGGCATGTATTACGATTTCGCTAACATTTGGTTGCGTGGCATATAGTTCTATATCAACTTGGCCACCAAATACACGTCGGTTGATATCAATCGTCCATAAAATATCATAATGTTTTGGGCGTGTGGTTGTAGGAAGTCGGTATAACGTATAATTATTAGCGTCATCATTAACAATGTCAATATTTTCAAATATTTCTCCTACTCGTTTTTCATCGCCAAATATTGTACTCCTTGTAACTGGTGGACTTGACAATCCACTAGCATAGGCCCACATTAAAATTAAAAAGACCGCTCTAGTTGTCGCCATCTAGAACAAAAGATCAAAATTCAAAAATAAATTCAAGAAAAAACAATTTGCACTCGTTTCTAAGCGTATAGTGCCAGAATTAAGACAACATAATTATTATCAAGTCTTTAACCCAGATAAATATATAAAATAGATTACTGTATGATACGATTCTGAGATAGCTTTTTGTGTATTTTATCCTAAATTATTTTATATTAGTTTATTCTAATTAACTAAAATGGAGAAATACCTTTCATAATAAGGCAAAACTTGTCTTTGTTGGTCATTTTTTAATATTTTTCAGATTTATTTAAGTTTATATTTAACGTGTAAATACTACATATTTCCATGACTCTGTAATTAAAAAAGGCATTACTTTTGTTCAAAATAAGTGATATCTATTTTAATCAATTTAATTTATTAGAACAATTGCAAACAAAAGATTTGAATAAATCTTACATTATATGTAGTACAGTTCAAAAATTAAGAAACAGCAGCAACAATAATGTGATGGAGATTTGTTGTCTTGTATAAATATTTTAAATAATTCAAAAGACTTCATTATGAAATGAATACAGTTCGATTAGAAAACTTTAACAATTTGACGGGAAATGGATTAAAGAAAAAAAGCCCTAGTTCCCAGGAGTGTTTTATTTTTTCAATAAATTCCAAAATAATACTACCTACCTAAGCCTGCCTACTATCTACCTATCTTGTACGATATATCATTATAGTATTAATAATTTCATATCATTTATTTTTTTATATTCTATATATTACAACTGTCACATTGATAATAAAAAGAAATAAATGATTTTATACGTACAAAGATTACTGTTATCTTAATAAGAATATGTAAAATACCTCGATAGAGGCGGAATAATTCTAAATACATTTAACATAAAATACTCGTTCATTATACAACAAAACTCTAATTTGCCAAGGTTAAACGAAATAATCATTATGTAAGGCAAAAAAAAATACAATGTCAACGATGCTTATATCAACTACCACCTCTACAAATAAGTTTACTTTTTTAGCCGTCACCGAACCATTATAAAGTATTTCTTGCTAATTACACCACTGTTATGGAAACGTCAAAGAAAATGGAGGATACAAAAGAAGAAAAAAAAGAGGAAATTGAGAAGCCACCAAGTCAATGTGCGCTATTTTTTAGACAGGTATGTAAATATTAAATTTAATTATCTTGTCAAATATAATCCAGTGCTTTATAATTAATTTATTTTCATGTTAATATTTTTATCCTTAGCTCTCTGCATGTTGTCCTATAGTAAATTATTTATTTACATTAGGACTTTACATGGGTGCTCCAATAAACCATATTTTAAGTGAAATAAACAAGGAATCTTCAGAAAATATTATCGCCCCGGAAATGGCTTCGTGGTTCCGTAAGTTGCTAATATATATATTACAATCGCTTTTTCACTTATTTCAAAGTTTTTATTTTTATTCTAGATTTTATATTATTATTCTAGATTTTCGCAAGACCAATAAATGCCAACTGCATTAAAATATAATCTTTAAAAATTATCTTTTGTGTATTTTGCAACTCTATTAAGGACCCTTTTTTCACATTCCTAAAAAATATGATACTTTTTTTTTCAGCTTGCACATCCGCGTTATGTTCATTTCCTTGGGCAATAATTTTACCTCTGATAGCGCAACGTTATGGTCGAAAAGCTAGCTTTCATCTCGTTAATATAAACACAGTAATAGGAACCATCATTTTCAGTTATAGTAAAACATTCACTCAACTAATACTGAGTCAAATTTTAATAGGAACTTTAGTAGGGGCAGTTTTTACAGTATTTGTCATGATTATAAGTGAATTAGTATCTCCGAAATCCAGGGGGTTAATCTTAACAATAACATCGGCAGCATTTTTTTGGGGAAATTTGACATCAAATTTTCTTGCAAAAATGGAAGCTCGAAAAAATATTATTTATATTGTTTTCTCTTGCTGTTTATTCAACGGATTTAATTTTCCGGAAACACCATACTGGCTGGCTACAAAAAATAAATTTGAAGAATGTGCTAAACTTCATCGGCGGATGAAAGGAACCGACCCAGACTCTGAAAATGAACTTCGAATTCTTATTTCAAATCAAAAAACATATTTGGATAATATATCCACAAAAGACAATAAAGAAGCTGATAATATAATTGGCAGAATACGTAAAGTTCTTAGTAGCAAAAAATTTTACAAGCCATTATTTTATACGGCGCTTACGATTTGTCTCTATTACTTTTCAGGAAAATTAACTTTTACCATTTACGCTAGTGATATCATAAAAAATATAACTAACAAGGAAGAAGAGGCTTATAAAGGATTGTTAATACTTAACGGTGTTACAGTTTTTTGTGCATACGTAGGATGCTATACAACCAGTATTTTAAAACGACGTACACAGTTACTTATTTTCTTAGCCAGTGGAATATTTTTCCTCTACCTGCTTAGTATTTACTCGTACGTAACTAAATTAAACATCGCGTATGAAAATAAATATATCTATTTATTACTATTCTTCGGATTTTCAATAAGCTACAGTTGTGGTCCATTGATAATAGGTATTAGTTTTTTGATTGATCTCATACCAAAACAAGAACGAAACTTGTTCTTGGCTTTGACAGGAATTATTGGATCATTTGTATTAGCGATCGTTTTAAAAATAACACCTGCTATATACACAACTTATGACAGTTACGTGTTATTCCTATTTTACGCTATTACAGCATCCGTTTGCCTCTTTGGACTTTACAAACATTTACCCGAATCAAAAAATAGAACAACACAACAAATAGAAAATGTTACTGCTCAAGAGGAAGAAGAAGAGGACTCATTAAGTGAAGAATTAAAAGAGGTTGTCCCACTTAAATCTGATTCTTGAAGTCTTTTGCTGGAATATCTTGCATTGCAATATTTTTATATCTTTCGTCATTATTAGATATGGTAGTATTCTACTTAAGTCAATTATATATAATTCAGTGGTATGTAGCTTTTTAGTTGTTCATTTTATTACACAAAGCGCCAGTTTATTGTACCTTTAAATAAGGTATTCTCTTTACTAGATCATCGTTATGTAAAATAAAATATATTGATGAACTTAATGTTGGACTTTGTATCATTAAAAACTGGCTACTATGTTTCTGTTAAGTTTTCGAAAAGGTCACGAATACTTCAAAAGTTATTTAGCAAATAGAAATTTTGATGTTTTTTATAAAAAATTAAGCATTTTTATCTAGAAAATTTTAAAGAAAACTGTAAAGAATTTTGTATGTAAATTATGTAAAAATAAAAAGATTAAAAATTAACCACCTTTTTTAGTATACGGTTTTAGTATATAAAATATTTTTTAATAAATAAATGACATATAATAATGTATTTTTTTTTATATTCACCACTAACAAGCTAAAAAATATTAAAAGTGAAAACACAAAAAAAGAGTAAAGAATAGCGAACTAGACAAATCCAGGCCTTATAAGTAATAGGCTATTACTTTGATGTATCTGTTAGGTTTATGGCTTTAAAATTACTAAGAAATTATAAAAGATATTGACATCTTAAATACAAACTAAGTTATTATAAATATTACTATAGTTCTCAAAGAAACAAAATGTCGGAAAAAGAAATATGTATTAACTTTGCATCTCTTTATTTTTTATTCTTATTATTTACAAGAATATACTTTTTAACTTGAAAGAAAACCTTCTTTTCTTCTTGTTTTTTCTATGTTGTATCTAAGCTAGTGATTGTATAAAGTTTCAACAAGTTATAATCATTGATCAATAAATGTACTCATTATCAAAGTAATGCAGTCAAAAGTCTAATTAATATAATTCTTATGATTTACTAAGACCTTTGTTTGTCCGTAATTCAGTTTTTTTATTATTATTCAGACAATACGGGTGACCTTAAAGTTAAGGTATCTAAATTAAGGAAGGAAGGTGATTCAAATAATGTTTTCCTGGCTTTTAGAGTATCTATTAAAAAGATATTAGTAAGTTTATGCATTAATTAGTCATGACCTTAAAATGTTTTTTTTTTTTTAATTTCATATGAATGTTCACACGTTTTACGATAAAAGTGTAACGGTTTTATATGAAATCAAAAGAAGCTTGTTCTATTTCGAACGACGTTATATATGCAATGAAACTATGGTATGTATACTCGTAACTATATAGGACTTGAATCATTTACAAACTCAAAAAAATAATTAAGGATAAAACTAATTTCAGATCATAATTATGACTCAAATTTTAAATTATTTAAGTCCCAAAAGAGCAAGCGAGCAGACGGCCTTTTATTTTCATTTTATCACATTATAAAAAAATTATGAAAAAAATAATACTTTTTAGAAAAGGTTTATACCTATGTCTATACAAACAACAACAAGCAAAACACAGATAAAAGTCAAATCACAGTTTTGGACCAAATAAAGTGACATGCAAAAGGCCAAGACACTTTATGTAGAAAAATTGAGGGTGAAAAATTATTTTGTTGTCTGAACAAAAATCTATACAGAAATAGTTAATGTTTTCGGAATAAGTTTTCAGAAATTTAATTTATAAAAGCTATTTTAGATTAAATTTTAATTTAAAAAAAGCAAACATTTTCCATTAATCATTTTTTAAAATTTAAAACAAAGTGAAGCTAAATACTTGAAGCTCCTACTTGCGTTGATCCTTTTGTCATTCTAAATTATATTTTGGAAATTTAGTTCACCTTTATACTACTAGTAATAATATATCCTACAACTTCTTGGTTGTCTCAAAGTAAGAAGTGTGTTTAATTAAACACCCTACATATTTTTACAAACAAAGAAAATAATATTTTTAATCATAGATATATACTATGTATGAGCATAATAATTACAAAACATCAGAGTAAAAAACGCGTACATTGTCACCATATACGAGAAGGAGATATAGGCAAAAATAGATATCAAGGAACATTCTAAAAAGCAGATCTCCAATCTAAGACACTAATATTTACGATAGGC